TTTTACAAATGAGAACACTAAGATATGGAGAGAGATGGAGGCTTAAGGTTACAAAGACACTCAGATTCTAAATGGTGGAGCTAATAGATACATAATCGAAAAGTGGCAAATTTTTGCAATCTCCTTATGCTAGCATTTATTTTAGGACATTCTACAGCCATTAACTGTTCATTTGTACAAATGGTATAGACTAAAAAGTAGAGACTAAAAAGTAGATTTACTTGAATAACTTAGGTTCTTTCTACTTGACCAGAATAGAGCAATTCCCAAAGTGTTTTCAAAGGAACACTAGTCCTCCACAAGCCTGGGGACAGAGCTGTTCTATGGCAAATGGTTGACATACATTACATACTACTGTGATTTGCTCAAAGATTCAAAGAGATCTGAGAAGCCTTTTAAGAAAGCAACTTGTTTAACTTTCTTCAGCCACAGAGCCAATTTCATGAAGCTGTAAAAAGGTTAAAGATTTTTTTTTCTTTTTACTCTTTAGCACTCTGAGACATTTATTCAGAGATAATATGAGGTTTAAAAACATGTTTGAGTTTAAATACACACACCTTATAATTGGATGGCACTTTGTATTTACCAAAAAGGAAAAACCAAAAACCTCCTCTAGCCCTGAGGTGTCATTTGAATGTGCTGTTTATTTTTATTCCACATTTGCAAAGAAAGGTCTAGATTTGTTAGGAATATTTTCAAAGCCTTGCAGCCACAGAAGGTCAAACCGAAACTCAAATTCAAATTTTCTCAAACCACCTTAAATATACTGCCTTTCTGTAGGTAAAAAACCAAGGAGATCTTGGGTTCCATATATAAGAACACAGATCAAGTTAGACCAACCGTGGTGAAAGAGATGATCTAAAACCACAGTGTCAGACCTGTCCTCTTGACCAGCTTTGCCACTAACCTCCTGGCTCTGCTTCCTCACCAGTGTAATGGCAGGACTGGGCTCACAGGAGCCCAAACTGTCCTTTCAGTTCTTGGAAATCAGTAGATCTTCATTGTTGTGACTTCCACAGGGCACAAAGCTGAGCTGAGCATGCCCTTCCTCACCCTTACGTCACTCCGCTATCTGCTGAATTTCACAGCTTATCATTTATATCAAACTTATTCCTACCACACTTGCACTTGGCCTTTTACTTTCTTCTTTTACTATTCAGCATGTGAATTTGATCCTGAAGGAGATTTTGCAACCCTATCAGTTTTTTCAGTAGCTAAGAATTAGATGATTCTTCCCCGCCAAGGGTTGGTCTCCTTCGGCTGATGTCTCATAAACCTGCCTGGTAGAGTTACATTTCATAGAGCTGCCTGTTTGGTTTTTACTTGCCTGGCTTAATTGCACTTCTCGTTATGTCCCATCTATAGTTCTTTAAATCTGTAATTATACCCCATCCCACTAGAATTCTGCAAGCTAAAATTATACACACATACACACACACATACACACACACACTTAAATTCACAAAAGACACTTTATAGGGATTTGCAATTTAAGATCAAAGTTGAACCAAAGCCACTTTGAAATCCCCTAGGAGGGCAACCCAAACTAGAAGAACTTGGCCCTTAATCTCAATTTTCTTTCTCTTTCTGTCTCTCCCTACCCTCTTGTTCTTACATGTATTCTCTCCTTTCTCCCTTCTTCTTCCTTTCATATTTCTTTTCTTTTTAGATTGCAAATTGCATTGCAAAACATAAGAATTTAACTGGCACTAGAATCAAGATATTGCTTCTGTATGTATACTAAGGTAATGTGTATGTAATAAATACTGAGACAAAAGACAGTAGAACATTGAGGACCTATAAACCTGCCTGTCCCTCAGAGGAGCTCCACGTGCCCCCATCTGCATACCTGTGAGCTAACAATACACCTAGATAAAGCTCTTTTGTGTCTTTGCTCCACCTGCTTGGCTTCAGCATTGACCCTGCAACCTTTGTTCTACTCTGTATCTCTGCCTCATTGTTCAATGTTAAATGATAACATTGTGGAGACTTGTTTTCCTTAGATTTCTTCCGTTTTTTTTTTTTTTTTTTAGAAATTAATTTGAACATTAGTAGAACAAAGGAAGAGAAGAAAAACAAGGAGAAAGCCAAGAAGAAAAAGGAAAAGAGACCAGTCTTGGCATTAATCTCTTGATAATCACTCTATTTTTATAGGTTAAGATTAAAATTTTATTTTTCCATATTACAAACTCATTCCTCTTTCTCAATATAAGCTGGCACTATATGTTGCTTATTATTTTTACTTGCTTCCAAAAGCTTCTGTTAAACCGCAGCATCCTGGGATACCAATGTGGTGATCTCTCACTAGTTCTTATAGATAGATTTATTCACAGCATGCCTATGGTTTCATGGAGATAACATTTGCTACAAATGCATAAGGGCTTACTCAAACTGGCAGCAATAAATCCAACTAACATGACAATCAAAGCTCTGGCGAGACCATCAGGCAAATGAGTCAGAAGTCAAAACTGTCATTAAAGTTGTAGGAGTCTTTTTAGAATTAAAAATTTCAAAATGATTGGTTTGGGGATTTGCAATAATATAGAAGTGCTAATTTATGCATCAGAGAACAACATAAACACATGATTGGGCAAATGTGGCTTGGCAGAGTTCATGTAAGGAACCTTAGCTGACAGTGAGTTGAATTAAATATCTATTTTAACCCCCCCAAATCTTAGTCTTCAATAATTGGTTTTTAATATCTTCCATAGAGAAAGCAGTAGCCCTACTACTCTGAATTGATTAGGCTACAGCTAGAATACTGTGCTCAATACCACCTAAATTGTAGATCCATATATACAAGTTGAAATGCATACAGGGGACCAGGTTGGTGACGGGAGGGGAAGAGCAGGAGGAAATGGAGATGATATGCCCAGAGGAAGAATAAAAAAGACTGAGGAAAAAAAATAGCAAACCTATTTTACATAACTGTTACATGGGAAATGTAGATTTTTTTCTAAATAGCATTTAGAGCCCAGTTACCTCATGAACTTAGTCAAATATATCAAAGCCCGAATCAATTATTAGAAGCCATAGGAAAGTCAATAAAATGGAGAATTTTTGAAGACAGCGGTTGTTCAAAGTTGACTAGGCAGTTTTGAGAATCAGGGAAATTCCATCCTGTGAGGCATTTGGGCAAAAGAGCTTCTAAGCAAATAAAAAGATTCTAGCACTAGATGTTTGTTCAGGTTGAGTGACCTTTAAGAAATTCTTTCAACATCAAAATCTATGACATTGTGAAATCAACTTGACTTCAATAGTCCATGGAAACACCCATAAAACAAGAAATAAAGAATTTTTAAATTAAATCTTTAATTTAATTTAAAATTTATCTGTGAAACAAATATAATTAAAATTTCTGAATTTCAAATTTGCAAGTTGAGAGAAAGGAAATGATTGTGATTTCTAGCTAAATAGCTGGATCTATTTTCTTCAAATTTAGAGATTCAAAATGAATCTCATTTTGAAGTTATTCTGTCAGTTGTCTGCATATATAAGACTGTTATATAGTCCATTCAAACTTGGCCTCTCATCAGTGTGGCTAACTTTGGATATTTTGTTAAAAGACCAGTACAGTTTTTATGTCTGTTTGTCATATTTCACAATTATTTCATTTGAAAGCAAACTTTTGACATGTTGTATGTGTGTGTGTGTGTGTGTATGTATGTGTATATGTGTGTGTGTGTGTGTGTGTGTGTGTGTGTATATATATCTCCATGTAAGAATATAATCTGTTTTATCTTCTGCACCCAAAATATTTATTACTCAGAAATGTTGCTTGACAATACACTGTATGACAGCTAGACATATTATTCTAAAAGTCCTAATGCAGATACAAGATGATCTACTTGGAGATAGAAGGGAGATGAACATTTATTTAATGCTTTAGAGAAAAAGAAAGGAAATTAATTTTAAAAACCTATAAATTTATCAAAACATTTATGAACAATAAGGTAGGTCCTCTCAGGTCCCTGAAGATCGCAGAGCATTAGCTCTCCTGGGTGCACAGTCCTCAGCCATAATGCACTTGTTATAAGCAATCCTTGAATACTGAAAAAGTTAAAATGACCTGGGATCAGGCAGGTTTTTCCACTATTTAGGTTTCCAGTGAAATTTGTGTAAATCAAAGGAACCAAAAATTAAAGTAGGTAGGGAAAAAAAAAAAAAAAGACCAGAAACACTAAGATGGATTCTACAGAAAAGTGCTGTGAGAAGTGGCAAATTAAGGGTACTATAGAGAGTTAAATGATTCAAGAAAGAAACTTAAATATAATATAGATTCTACAACAGTAAACATTTCATTATTTTTGTGAAACTCCAAATTTGCCATCCCTACAATGTTTATTCACTTATAAAAATGCTAGTTTTCCAATGGATCTTGTAGACATGCCATGTATTCATGTATTTATATATATCTCTGACCTGATCAAAAGCATGGTGTTTTAATTAAGGCACAAATGGATTTTTTAAACACATAAAGTATAGCTACAATCATATTTTGATCTCTTAATCAAATCATTACTAAACGTTTATATCTTGGAAACACTTTTGTTCAGGTTGAGTTTTCACTATTAGCTCAATATCAAAAGGAATTTTTACAGCAAAACTTAGAATAAATCTTAGAATGGCATTTGATAACTTACCTGTAAGGACACCTCTTCTTATTTTATAAAATATTTTAACTATAAATATTAATCAATTTTCCCTTTTTAGATTTCAGATGAAAACAATACAAACATCAGTTTTCTGCTTGACAGAAACAAATAGAAAATAATCCAGATAATTAATGACATTTTTCTGTTTTAAAGTTGGAAAATGGGTTCAAAGAGTGAGACTTAAGACAGGAGTACTAAATATGCATTCTTTAAATAAATATACAAATTAATAATCTCAAGATGATTTGAAAAGTTAGTAACTCAAGGAAGTGTTACATTTCAAAGATAAGAAATGAAAGATAAAGCTGGTAGTTAGGTTTCATTACAGTAAAAATTTGCAAATACCTTCTTCAACATCTGAGATATATTCGCCATCACTGAGCATTTCAGGGGCGTTGGCTTTACGAACTGCATGATTTAAGCGAACAATATAAGTGTATGAAAAATACGTATTCCTGATACTACAACAAAACATTTCAATATTTCCCCAAACACTTTTGCAATGAACTTTGTCAAGAACCAACAAAAACAGTTACTCATAATTAATATGAACTCAAAGGACATTTTCATACCTTCATCATCAGACATATCAAGAACTTCATTCATCGTTTCTGGAACATTCATTTTGTGCTTCTCTGTGATGGTCTAGTAACAAAAAAATCAGTCACTTTAGTGTGAGCATTTTAAGGTATCCACTTTGTTGTTCTTTTGCATGGTCTGAGGAATGTGTCATTGTAACTTACGGTTTGGATCTTTTTTATCCTTTTTTTAACCTCGTGGTACCAGAAATTGAACTCTGGGATATTCTATGATTGAACTTCATCTCTAGCCCTTTTTTATTTTTTTCTTTTTAATATTGAGACAGAGTCTCACTCAGGTGCCCAGGCTGGTCTCAAACTTGTGATCCTCCTGCTCCTTAGGTTCCTGAGTAACTGGGATTACAGACATGTTCCATCATACCTAGGCTGGTTTGGATACTTAATGTCCCCCCAAAGTCCAAGCACTCAAGGCATGGTCCCCAATGCAGCAGTGTTTAAATTTGGGGACTTGGGGAACTAATTCATTCATTAGGATTTTGACCTCACTGATGTATTAATACATCAATGATAGGGCCAACTAGGTAGAGCCTTGTTGGAGAAAGTAGGCCACTGAAGGCAGGACCTTGAAGGGTATAATTTGTCCCAGGCCTCTTCCCTTCTGGGTCTCTCCCTCTGCTTTCTGGCCACCACGAGGTGAGCAGCTTTGCTTTACCATGTGCTCCCTGCCATGTTTTTTGTTGCCACAGCCCAAGGTAATGGGGCCAAGCCACCGTGTCTGAAACCTTGCAAACACTGAGTCAAAATGAAAATTTCCTCCTTTCAAGTTGATTTTCTCACAACCATGAAAAGTTGACTAACAACCACTAAAGGTCTTGGCTGAAGATAAGCCAAAATAATAGCAAGAAATGTCTTTATTAATGGTGCCAATGAAGCCAGATTTAAAATTAGGCAGTCAGTGTAGTTAGGTAAATCGGGTCTAATATGGAGTGAAATCTAAAATGGAGGCCATGTTGAGAATGAATTTCTGGAAAAGTTGAGCAACTCTTGAAATGTTAATGAAGTCCCAAGAAAAGCCCTAGGCCCAAAGTCCATCCCAAAGAAATGTTAATGAACAGCCCCAGCCGATTTGGAGATAGCCCATTCCAAAGAAGTGTTAAATGAAGTCCTTCCTGCCCAGATTACTTGTTTGGCCCACCTGTGTCCCACCCCTCGGGCCTTCCCACCTACATTCCATCACCAAAAACTATAAAATGGAGAGACAACCGCACTTCCATGGATTCCACCTCTTGGGTCCCCTTCTTCCTCCGGGAGAAGTCTTTTCTGCTGTCCTTTAATAAACTTCTAATTTCTACTCTGACCTTGCCTCGGCATGCACCGGTCAACAGCAGTAACACCAAGATTCCCACTTACTTTGTCTTCTCCTCTTATGTGTACTTTTAATTCCTGAGATACATCAAATAATTCATATTGCATAAATTACATAATTTTTACAAGTATGTGCCTGAAAAAAGGGAGATAATGTACTTTCAGGATCATTTTAACTTCAAAAAATTTTAAAGAACAGATTGGTGTTTTTGAAGGTGCCTTAGTAGACACTGCTGCTGAGCAGATGGCTGGAAATGTGGGTCAGTAAGAGAGCCCTGGCAGCCTGGGATTAGGCTAGAGGGTGGTGGAAGCCTCAAATAAGCCAGACCCCAGGCCTCTGGGGAGGCTTTTCTACTATGGCCATGCTCATCTTGATGTGCAGGTTTGGCACTGGGTCTTGGGTAGGCGGTAGGGACCTTCCATCAGGGTTGGGGGTGGTGGTGTTTATTTTAAAGAACAAACAGCACATTACAGAACAGGGGCCTTAATGACTCTTCTATTTGTTTTCTGACAACTTCGTATTTATAGATCATTTCCACCCCAAAGACACCATCAGCATTACTTGTTAAAAATTTTTAAATAACTTTTATTTAAAAATAAGTTGCCTTTTAATTCCGAGAATATGAAAAGCTAATGGGTAAGAGTTACAAAGATATGCATTTAAATTTTTTAAAAGTCACATTAAAAATAAGAAAGGGTATATATTATTTCTTAGGGATAATTGATAAATGTAATTTATACTGCCAGCCCAGTTATTATGCTGAAACAAGACATTATTTGGTGCCTCTTCCAGTGGGTAACACTAAAATAAAGGGTTAAAAAAGTTCTAATTTTAGAATAGTTGTAGATTTACAGAAAAATTATGTAGATAGTAAAGAGAGTTCTCATATACCCCACACCAAGTTTCCCTGATGCTAAGAGCCATAGCCAAGTAGGAATGACGCATGGAATTTTTGGTTGTAAGGTGCAAGCCATTGAGATGATAATGATTATGTTAAGATGTGCATTCAATTGGAGATTAGACCCCTGCTGTCTGCCTAGGCCTGCTACTTTGGATTCTCAGAGAGTTCCCATTGGTTGGGGAAGTGTGGTAGGAGGGAATTCCGGAGGGGGGCATTTCCTGTTGGTATAGTGTGTCCCTGGAGAAGGCCGCGTGCGTGGCATTGGCGGGAGTTTTGGAAATAAAGTTTGTTCCTGCTTGAGTGGCTCGTGATTTTGTGCCCAGCCAGACTGCGGCACCCTGATCATTAAAATCTTGTATTTGTATGGTATATTTGTCACAAATAATGAAACAGTATTAATACATTTGGTGTATTTGTCACAAATAATGAAACAGTATTAATACATTAAAGTTTGTATTTTATTCATATTTCCTTTACTTTTACCTAATGTCCTTTCTCTATCCCAGGATCTCATCCAGGATAGCACACATTATATTTAGTTGTTGTGTCTCCTTGGGCTTCTTTTGGCTGTAACAGTTTCTCAGACTTTCTGTGGTTTTGATGACCATGATAGCCTGGAGTTATATTGGTCAGGTATTTTATGTAATTATCACCCAACTGGGGTTTGTCTTGCATTTTCTTTTATGATTTGACTGAGGCTAGAAGTTTTGGGGAGGAAAATTGCAGAGGTGAAGTGCCATTTTTTAATCACACATCAAAGGTACATACCTTTGACAAGACTTATGACTTGATGTTGACCTTGATCATCTCCTGAGGCAGTGTTAGTCAGGTTTCTCTACTGTAAAGTTACTTTGTTTTCCTGCCTCTGTGAGTGTGTGTGTGGTGTGTGTTAAATCACAATGCTCAGCCCATATGTAAGCAGTGGGGAATTATGTTCTACACTTCCTTGAGAGTGAAGTACTCTGATAAATTACTTGGAATTCTTTTGCCTAAGAAATTTGTGTCTTCTTTCCATTTGTTTCAGACATTTATTTATATGAGTATGGACTTAATGATATTTGTTTTATACTTTGCCCTAAACCCCAATACTATTTTATTTATTTATTTTTGCTCAAATTGTTCTACCTTTTTTTTTTTAATATATATATTTTTAGTTGTAGATGGACACAATACCTTTATTTATTTATTTATTTTTAAGAGAAAGAGAATTTTTAATATTTATTTTTTAGTTTTCGGCGGATACAACATCTTTGTATGTGGTGCTGAGGATCGAACCCCGGCCGCACGCATGCCAGGTGAGCACGCTACCGTCTGAGCCACATCCGCAGCCCAAATTATTCTACCTTTGACCACTGGGAACTTGCAGTTGATTCATGTGTCCCTGTGATATATCCCAAACACAGTGTGTATGCATTTGCTGTTCATTTATTTGGGATGGTAGTGGGAGAGTATTCCTTACTTGAGGGCACTATAAGATGTTCTAGGCCCATTCTGTATATTTCCTTTTCTAGTTCTAGATTTATCCAGGTCTCCAAGGAGCTCTGATTCCTTTTATTAAAGAATGATATTAGCAACTGATATTCATATGCAAAAGGTATTCAGCTTTAGCTTCTGGAAAAAGCATTTTAAATAATGCAATTAAAAACAGATAGGAAGCTGGGTGTGATGGCACACACCTGTAATCCAGCAGCTCAGAAGGCTGAGGCAGGAGGATCATGAGTTCAAAGCCAGCCTCAGCAAAAGTGAGGCACTAGGCAACTCAGTGAGGCCCTGCCTCCAAATAAAATACAAAATAGGACTGGGGACGTGGCTCAGTGGTCAAGTACCCCTGAGTTCAATCCCTGTAATCGTCACCTCCAAAAAAAAAAAAAAAGATAGGAATCACATTTTCTAAAGTTCAGTTTCTCTCCATTCAGTTTGTTATGCTGTCATGATTGTGACCTCATTTACTAAAGCATCTTTCTCAGAACTGCCACATCATATGTTATTCTCCTGGATGAGGCATTGTTGTTTTCAAGGTTTGGAAAGACTAAAGTATTCTTATAAGAGGCAATGACCCCAAGGAGCCAGTATGTAGCTGCGGGAAGATGGCGCCTGTGGTGGAGGTCAGTCTATGTTTACTAGTTTAAGATTAAAGACACTAACCTAGACTGCATCAGCTGTAAGTTAGTTGACATGTAAGTGCTAAAGCTGGTCTGATAAGGTGGTGTCTTAGTTTATAAGATAAAGTCTCAAATACCGCAGTGCTGGACTAAGCCTTAAAGACTGTGATGGCCTTTCTAATCAATGTGAGCAGTTCCTCTGGTGGAAGCCTTGTTTTCTTCCTTAGGCAAATTGGACCTTTCCTGTTAGCATGCACAGTGTCTTTCTCTCACAGAAATTTACCAATCAAGTCTCCTGATGACACAAAGTGGAATGGCACTCCTCTCTGCATGTTACAGCTTCTAAGGGGAACCTGCGTTCCCCTTAGAACCTTTCTCTACCTTTCAGAAGATTTTCTAAAGCTATAGCTTTATTTCATCTATAACTCTACATTCTCTTAAAGCTTTTGTTCTTTATTAAAGAAACATTTTGTATTTTGTTAGTGGGTAAGTAATTTAATAGAATAAGATTTGCATTTTGAACAATTTTTACTACTTTCAATTCCTCATACTGAACTAGCAGTCATATTTATTGCAATGACTTTAAATCTTATATAGCATAGTGACACTTGGTCATTGTTAAATAGCTTGTCTTCCTCCTCCCTCCTTCCCCATCCTACAGAGAGCTACATGGAATATCTATAAAATTAAGGCTAATAAACATTGTTTGTTTAAACTCTTTTACTTGAGAGTTTAATAACATGTTAGAAGAAGATGAAATACTCAAGAAGTGTATGAATCAACATATGGGAATTTATTACTTAGATAAACTACATCTTGAAGTTGGAAATGTATCCTGGTTGATAACCCCTGCTGTAAGTCCTTTAAAATAACTGTTTTCCTTCTTGTAAACTGTACAATTTCTCTCTTATGAGCAACAGGCTTATTTTTTTAATTTCTAAAGCCTGTACATTGCCAAATCACTCAATCTACAGTAGCTACAGACACTCCTAGGCTATGGCTTTTTAATATAAAGCACCATGTACACAAAATGATTTGGATGAACCAACTATACTTCCCTTCAAGTTGGGAGGTGATAGAAAGGAAAAGGAGACTGAACTGATAACCAGAAATATTCCAGAATCCTCAAATTACATTGTACAGCCTTCATCTCAAGGCTACGTGTTAAGTCATAGAGTCAGGAATAACTCAAATAAGCTTCGGACATGGAGTAGTATCTGCCCTTGGTTCCAAAGTTATCAAATCCTAATGCAGTTCAGAGGTTCCAGATGGGGTTAAAGTGAAAAGATTTATCCTAGAGGCTGCAGCTTATTAAAGTGTATCTGATGCAATAGAATCTCCTGCTGAAGAGTTACTTTAAAATTTAACAAAACATTGTATTATTGTTTCCTATAAAAGCTGAAGTGGACAAAGAATAGAGAGAATGGTAATCAAAACCAATTTTGATCCTAACTGTAATTGTTTAAAAAATATACAATTTTTAAAAACAATATGTAATCATATATTATTTGCATATTAAACGACATCTCAGCCCTTTAGGAAACTTCTATTTTTGGTATTGGGGACTGAACCCAATAGTGCTTTACCACTGAGCTACATCCCCAGACTTCTTTATTTTGAGACAGGATCTTACTATGTTGCTTCTGGCCTCACAAAGTTGCTGAGGCCGGCTTCAAACCTCTGATCCTCCTGCCTCAGCCTCCCAAGTGGCCAGGCTTAAAGGCATGTGCCATCAAGCCTGGTGTTGTGCAACTTTTAAAAAGGTATTTTTAACATTTCAGAGTTTTGTTCATATCAGGAATGAGAGTTTCGGTATCCTGACTGCCAACAATGAGATAACAATTAGAAACATGGCACTTAGTCTGAATGGCACAATGAAAGTTCATCTTAGAAAAGCCCAGTAAAACTCTAGCCTGAGAACTGGCTTCCAGGGGAACAAGGTTCTGTTTTCACTACTTACAGTCGTGGTCATGGTCTCTTCTGTCACTACCTTCAGGGTGTCAACCACTGAGATGTACCCAAGGCGCCGGGCAATGGCAAGGGCGGTATTCCCATTCTGGCAATGGGAGAACACAGACAAAGAATTAAGAAGCCTCCTTCTGCACGTTTTGCCTACACAAAATGTGAAGGTGAGTGTCTTATCACACCTATCCATTGTTTGGCTTTGTTAGAGACATACCTTACACAAAACCCACTTAACCTGTTTCTACTCATTGGCCAAGTCTGGGCAGCTACACATGGAATCCAAGAGCAATGTCCTCAGTAAGCAATCAATGAAACAGACCCATTTCTTTTTCTTACATATGTACTTCCTATTAGATGGCAGCACAATTAATAGTTTTAAAGTGTGAAACACTAATTAGATCTCTCTCTGAATAGTTCGCAACAATATGAGTATTGCCCTTTTTCAATTATTCTTCTGAATGCTGTTTATGCCTATCAATAGAAAAAGCAACATGTGTATTCAATGAAAAATATGAAAGAGTCCAGGTCGCACTATCTCCTCCTCCTTCCCTTACACTGGCGTGAAGCTTACCACAGTGAGTTCATTGGGAGAGGCATTGTTCTGAAGCAAGACATTTATTATATGTGTATGTCCCTGTTGAGCTGCTTGATGTAATGGCGTATACCCATTCTGTGGAAGAAAGATGGAATAAATGACTCTTACATTATCAGATACAAAATAAACAACTTTGGTGGAAAGGAAGGAGAAGGGAGCTTACCTTTGTTTTGGCATTGACTTTTGCAGAATGCTGGAGAAGGAAATTAACAATCTTGATGTTTCCGTAGTGGCAGCCCACATGTAGTGGTGTGTATCCCATCTGTAATTATATTTTTTTTTTCGAAAAAGAAACAGCATAAGTACACTTTTAGTAACAGCTATCCTAAATAGAAGCAAAATTACTATTTAGCCTTTTCTTGAGCGGAAAAAAAATTTTTTTTCTCATCTCTCTATAAAAAAATTTACACTTGATCATTCTCAGAGCTAGTTGTAATTATAAGTAACAATACCACTTCACATAAAAATAGTTACTTAGTTTTCCCCAGTGTTCTCACTTGTATTAGTTCATTTTCATCTTGTAATAACTGTTCAAGACAGGCTAACCCACTCACTGCCTGGCAAGAGTCAGAGAGTGTTTTATGGGCACCCCAGACTACTCTCTAAATGTTTAAAATCTAGGAAAAAAAAAGTCTAAATGATAAGGCAAGGTTGAGGATGTTCAGAAGGCATGATGGAGATAGAGTCACAGAAACACTAATGAGGAAGAGACTGCTCTGAGTGCTGGTAGCTGGAGAAGTTTGAACTTGATCTAGGTGAATCTGCTCTAGTTCAAGTTTCCCAGTGTCTTCACTTGAGTTTCACAGTGTGAAAATCACCGATTTAGACAAAGCAACCATCTTTTCTCAGATGAGTAACCCAGGATGGGGTGTGGGAGGGGAGGGTTATAAGTTCATTCTTTCATTCTCTCCCTCCCTGTGTGTGTGTGCAAAGAAAATCTATATAATTATTTGAAAAAAATAAGGATATTCTGGATCCTTTTCTAGATGGTGACAATCATTGTAAGAGAGACCACTACACAATTTCAGGGACCCTGTTCAATCTCTGTTCATGACACAGGAAGAACCAGCTCACGGAAAGACAGAACATGAACCTTTTATTGCAACATTTCTAAGCAGTAATTGAAGGAGAAAGGTTCATATTTTCAAGGGTCTGAATCTCACATATGATGGCATGTGCCTTTATGGTGGCCCCACAAATGCATTACTTTAAATTTTAAAAGAGGATGCCCAGACCACAGCCATAGCCAAAGGTGAGGATAACCCACTAGGGATGTGCTGCCCTGTAGACCTGCCTCTGATCAAACTCCCTCCCCAAACCAACCTGTGAGTGCCCTCTTGCTGCCCAGACTCTCCCCAGCAAGTGCACCATAACCACATAGTATGAGATGGGCTTATCACCCCAAAGCCACTTCATGCATGACTGAGGATATCCCTTTTTTGGTGATCAGAATTGCTTGCCTACTTTGCAGGGTTCTTCTTTCTTGGAACTGAGGAATCAGATGGTGCACCTATGATCAGAACGCTGCTTGGTAAGGGAGATTTGAATGTAGTTTGTGCAATCATTTCTAAGTACAATTAGTTTAACTGAAGTAACTTTATTCTCAAGCTCAGTGTTAAGAGGTCAAAACAATATTGATAATATTTGAAAAATCTAAATATTCAAGAGCTCTCCAAGTTTTTAGACTACTTGCTTAAGTAACATGTTACAATTTCCAAAGGCTGGTGTGTTAAATGCATTAGATTTGTTGAGAATTGAATCGCTTTAAATATTTCAACAAACAACTTGTATTTATTCTCAAAGCTTCCTATCTCACTCTTGGTAAAACCTTGCCATTATACTATTAGGACTTACCTGATTTAGGTCTCCCCTGCCTCCCCTGCCCCCTTCTATTAATCTTTGATCTCATTTTCTATTCTTTCCCTGTTCACTGTGCTCTGGTAGACTAGTATTTTTACTATTCCATAAAAACTAAAGGAGCATTTTATTAAAGATGTGTGTGCCTGGTCAAGAAGATTCAACTTACACTTGGATTCACTGTGGGTAGGGGTTGCCATTCCCATATAAGATGGTACCTTGTATGGATACACCGGGAGAGATGTGATTTGAGAAATCCTTTCCACCTAGCAGTAATAAATGTTGGAAAAGACCAACTGTTCTTTCTTGAGTTTTTTTTTTTTTTTTTTTAATACCACGGATTGAACTCAGGGGCACTTGACCACTGAGCCACATCCCCAGCCCTATTGTTGTATTTTATTTAGAGACAGGGTCTTGTTGAATTACTTAGAGCCTTGCCATTGCTGAGGCTGGCTTTGAACTTGCGATCCTCCTGCCTCAGCCTCCCAAGTCGCTAGGATTACAGGCATGGGCCACTGTGCCCAGCCTTTCTTGAGCAATTTTGCCTCTTTGTCCAGTGCTACCTCACTTATGATTATCATTATACTCTGAAATAAAACCTTTTCTTTTTTTGGGCAAACCTGAGTAGGGATATATAAAACCCTGCAAAATGCACCTCACAGTCTTTAATAATTTTCTTTCACTTTCCCCTCTATTGATTACCAAGTGGTGGATGTTGACATCTATTACTGATCAGGCTGCAGCTTCAACCAGTGAAATGAAGGAGTGGAGCAGCGCTATGGCTGAGTGTGTGGACTCTGGAGGCAGAGCACGTACTTGGAATCCAGCTTTGCCACTTACTCACTGTGTGACTTTGGGCGAGTCATTGCACCTCTCTGTGCTGGCTCATGCACTGTCAAATGGAATCTGATAACATCAGCTTTCTTATAGTATTGTCTTAATATGCTGACAGACACAGTATTTGGCACATGGCATTAGCTATGATCATCTCCTGCCTCAACTAGTGGGTGGCATATAATAGTACCCAATAAATATTTTAAACCTTGGTAAATAAATGATCAAAAGAAAGGAAACAGGAAAAGATCCAGAGGAAAGACTGTGTCTTCTTGTTGAATGGGATGGTTGTATTGTGTAGCAACAGAAAACAGGCTCAGATGGAACATTCTGGCTGATATTTCCAATCTATATTATCTTGTTACAATATCTTATTTAGTAATAATTAGGAACTCTCTCTGCCCCAACTCGAGACTTGAGAGAGGGAGTGGGCAACCTCTTTCTCCTTCCTCTCCTAAAACCTGTGGGTCAGTCTCTAGGAGTTGGTGCTTTGCCTGAATTCCTTGCACTTAGCGTCATCTTCCTGGGTAACCACACACCCCACAATTACAAATACTACCCAGTTTTTAAAAATGTGGTATTTTAATATAATTTAAAGTACTGATGCTGTTTAAAGGGATATTTTTCTATTATCACTTTACATTAAATATTACTTGAGGGCACTGGGGTGTGACTCAATGGCAGGGCACTTGCCTAGTATGCACAGAGCCTTAAATGTGATTTACAGTATGGAAAAAATATTTGCACATACACATGCTTATACACATGAAGACTAAAATTTTTTATAAAGTTCATAATTTTAGTTCAGTGTAACTGAAATTAGATAAGTGCATTTAGTAATGAAGGAGAGTTTTTTTCTTTAGAAACAAACCCTCTCTAAATAAACTCTCAATACTTCATTTCCTAAGGGAAGTATAGCTGAAATTCTCAAACAGCCTAATAAGTTTTCTCCTATGATTTTTTCCTTTATTATTCATCTCAAAACTGAGTGTGAAATAAACTGGGATGGGGGAACTATGAGATCTTAGAATTATTAAATACTGTGAAATAATATTTTCATAATGATAAGAAAAAAATAAGCAAACTGTCATGTCTAACCTGCCCATCCCATTTCTGATACCCCAAATAATTCTGTTAACTTTTTTTTTTTTTTTCCTCTTGGTACTTTCCTCTTAGCTTACGGACCTATATACACATTCCCAGTATTTGGAACAAAAAGCACTCCTTTCAAATGCTTCTCTTTTCTACATCTCTATCCTCCTATAATTAAGCTTCTTGGTACGTGAGGGGGCCCTTCTTCATTCACCATTCCCTCTCATCCTTCCCCATCTCACCAACTCAACCACTGCAGTCAAAACTGCTTCCTAGCTGGGTGCAGTGGCGCATGTCTATAATCCCTGCGACTCAGGAGGCTGAGGCAGGAGAATCACAAGTTCATAGCTAGCCTCAGCAACTTAGTAAGGCCCTCAGCAACTTAGAAAGACCTAATCTCAAAACAAAAAAAAAGGGGGGGGGGCTGGGGATGTAGTTCAGTGGTTGAACACCCCTGGATTCAATCCCAAGTACAAAATCAACTAACCAATTAACCAACCAACCAAAAACTTTTCATTCTTGATGCTCTTGATGCCAATACCATGCACAGGATTCATCCTTCTCCTACCCAAAACACTCACCTTGATGTCTTATATAACTGGGCATTGATATCCTGTCTTTCCTGGGTTACCCCATGACAGCCTCTCTTCCACCTCTTCTACCCAATGCCGCTGACCCAGGGCTTTGTCTTTGGTCTGCTCAATGATCACATCTCTACCTACAACTTCAGCTGACTCATTTTAGCTGATGGTCCCTGAGTCTGGGTCTTCAGTCTGGCCATCATTCCTGTGATTGATATTTTAGTCACTTGTTGGGTTTTTCTATCTAGATGGCCCTACATAGTCTACAGTTCAACCTAATCCAATTCTGAGCTCATTCCTCTTTCCCCTGCTGACTTCTCCTGCTGTATTCCCTGCCTGGTGAAGTAGTACTAGGGATCACCCAGTATCACTAGTCAGATCATGAGATTTGCCCTGAGTGTCTCACTTTTGCTCAGTCCCCAAGTTTTACTATTTGTCTGTCTTAGGGTTTCCAAAATACTGTTCATGTTGGTCAACTTTCCATTTGCCTCTTAACTGAGGCTTTTTTCACTTGACCTCAGCTCTAGCAGGACTAGCCCTGTTCTCAGCTCTTTCATCAGCTTATTCCTAGCATTGTTGCCCAGGATCTTTGTAAACCAGACTGCTGATCTCATCACCATTCTGTTTGAAACCTTTAGCGGCTTCCTAGCACAACAGAATAAAAGCTAAACTGCTTATCCTGGTGCATTAACTGCCTCCATCCCTTGCCTAGGACTTAACCTCCAATTTTTTTCTCATGTTCCTGTGATACTGAACCAGCTGTGTATCCTGTGTTCTCCAATCTACCTGATTTCAAAAACTCAGTTTGCTATCTATTTTCTAAAATTTTACATATCTCCCTGAAATCAGGCTTTGTACCAATTAGCTTGTATAAGTAATTCATGATTTTGTGCCTCTGTTTCCTCATCTATAAGACAGGGACTCAAACTTTAGCAATCCCATAGTGTAATTATAAGGATTAAACAAAGTGATACATATAAAGCACTCGAACTAGTAGCTGGCACAGAGAAAATAGGTAGTAATTTTCATCATTATTATATTGTTTTTATTATCACTATGTGTCTCCCTTTCTAGACTATGAATTCTGTAAGGGCCGGGGGTTTACAAACACTGAGGTAAGAATTTGGCAATTCACGGGAGCTCTAAAAATGAAAGCAAAATGTAATCAAATAAGCTCTCAAAACTTTTCATGTTTTTAAACAGTGAAATCAACATCTGTCAGGGGTGGTGTAAATAAAAAATTTCAGGATATTATAGCTTCAAAAGGCAAGAGAAATAAAGCTGGGCACAGAGGCACAGGCCTGTAGTTCCAGCAACTCAGGAGGCTGAGGCAGGAGGATCCCAAGTTTGAGGTCAGTCTCAGCAACTTAGTGAGGCCTAAGCAATGTAGTGACAAAGTGCCCCTGGATTCAATCGCCAGCACAAAAAGAAAAGAAAAGCAATGGGCCTTATCTCAGCCAAACAACACTGACAATGACACTCTGTGGGTGGCTGAACTGACTTGCTGAACTTTAAAAGCAAAGGGGGATGAGTATAAAAGGTCAGCAAACCAGTGGGAGTGCTGCAAGAGCTGTGACCAGGACTTTCTCATCTTTTTCTCACAAGAGAAAACCCTGATATCTTCACTGTTATTATTATTATTTCATGAATTGAATGCTCTCTATCCTGCCTGCAGGCTGGTGGGAGATGTCTTCTTTACCAGTGAAATTTGAAAGCTTATAAGATATAATCAATTCTACCCACAAAGTCAAACAGCAAGTGCAAGAACCCCACTCTATGCCCTTCTGCTCTACTCTAAGTATGGGACTCGCTTCCTTTTCACGTCTGTGATCTTTCCTGAGAGAAAAAAGGGAAAAAAGGAAAGGAAAAGGTTTTCGTAAAAGACAGATGCTTTCTCAAGTGAGGCAGTTTGTAAAGGGCAGTGAAAGAAACATGCTTCAAAATATCATCCCAAGAACAAAAATGATTACCAACGGTGACCTAGGTTGGGTGGCTTAGAAGGAAACCCTGGCAGCCACCTGATGTCTACCAACTCAGAACAGAAGGGGTGCAGGGCTGTCCCCACCCCACCTCACAGGCTTTCTGACTGACTTTGGCTACATCCCTTGGATAGGCCAGGGCACAAAAACATTGAAAAACTTGACCTTGACTCTGATAATTTCACATCTGTAAAGGGAGAGGTAACAATAAAATATTTAAGTCTGTGTGTGTGTGTGTGTGTGTGTGTTCTGTGTGTGAATAAAACAATACAGAATTAATACATGAATACATTTACCATAAAGCTGCAAATTTCTAATGTAGAGAATTCTTTCTTGATGAAAGTATTCAAGAAAATAAAGAAAACAAGCTAAATTAGCCCAATTTTGATGTCTGCAATACCTTTTTACTTGGTTCATTCTTTGTGGTACTTTTGTATTACTGACATCTTCAAAATGCCCACACAACTCAGAACCTCTCTATACAGAAAAATGATCTTATTTACAATATTTAATAAGCATTCTATTTGTGTCAAACATGCAACATATTAAGAAATGTGTGTATGTGTGTGTGTATACACACACACACACACACACACATATATATATATATATAATTTTGGTACTGGGGATTGAACTTAGGGGCACTTTACCACTGAGCTACACCCTTAGCCGTTTTTGTATTCTTTATTTTTATTTTGAGACAATGTCTAAGTTGCTAAGGGGTGGGGTGGCTCAAACCTGTGATCCTCCTCCCTCAGCCTCCCAAATTGCTGGGATTACAGGAACATGCCACCATACCCGAAAAGAAAGAAAGAATTACATTTTGAAGTAGATAAAACAAATCTGATATGAAGAGGTAACAAAACTAAGCATCTTAAGAAAATGTTCAGAGAAACGAGATTAATTTAAAGTCATGTCTTTAATGGTAACACAAAACATCCATTTTCTTATCTGTCTTTGAACTGTGACATTATATGAGATTACTCAGGATTTTTTTTTAAAGAGTTATTTTGTCTGAGAGAAAACATGCAAACGTGCAAGAGAGCACACACATAACTACACAGACATAAGGAATTTGGCAAGTGAGTAATACAATGAGCCTTAATTTACTATTTTTCATAAATCATGATAAACAAATTAAATGACAAGATTTTCTATTTGTGTGTCACAAAACCTAAGAAAGATACACATTTTGTTCACATTCAGCTGCCTTGGAAGGACAGCTGTGAAGTAACAAGCTCACTAGTGTTAACACAGGGACACCAACATGCAGCTAACATAGAATACTCAGGCCATTAAAGACAAAAGGGTCCGAGATACTATAACCAGAGACTTTGGTATTCCTTGCATAAATGTACATTTGAAATACTAATGTATAAAAGATCTGATTGAGCTGGGTGGGGTGGCACATGCCTATAATCCCAACAGCTCAGGAGGCTGAGGCAGGAGGATCACAAGTTCAAAGCCAGTCTCAGCAATTTAGCAAAGTCCTAAGCAACTGAGTGAGATGCTGTCTCAAAATAAAAAGTTAAAAGGGGCAGGGGATGTGGCTTAGTGGTTTAGTGCCCTGAGTTCAATTTCTGATACCAAAAAATAAATAAATAAATAAAAGATTGAAAGTGCTTTTCCTCCTATTCAACTGTGGTGGCTTCCGTACTGGAGTCACTGTCATGTTGAATGGATATATTCTCTTGGCCTAGGAAAAGGAGAGAGGCTGTACCTTTGTCTGGGCATCCACATGTGCTCCTTGGTTTACAAGGACCTCGGCCACATTCACTCTGTCTTCTTGAGCAGCCAAATGGAGTGGGGTGAGACCGCTCTGCAAAAGAATCCAAGTGCACAGTCATCTCATAGGAAGGAAGGCAGTACACACGGCCATGTTTGAGAATCAGCTTGTAAATTCTAGAATAGGAAGCCTATAATTCCTGTATTCAAAAACATGTATACAGTAAACTCATACACCATGCCGCATGAGCCCCGGGGCAGCACTGCTGTCTGTAGGCTTCATGAAACAGTCCAAGCACTCCCACAAGCCAAGTGATGGAGTCAGGTTTGCATACTCATCATAGACTCAGCATGTATCAATATTTTCCTACATTTTCTTCATTCATTCCCCTTTTCTTCTCATTTCTCTGTAGCAGTATTTAAAAGCAAATCCCAGACATTGTGCCATTTTTCCCACACACACATTGTGTTCATCTCCAAATATTAGAAACTTTTCAAAAACAAAATTCTGCAGGAGTTTTAATTCATTACCAATAGTACTAGCTTAGCAAAAATTATTAAAATAACAAATGTTGACATGTGACGATAATATTTCTTCTCTATTATTAGCCAAAACCTGATGAATATTTTCGGTATGCTGCTTCTGGGTAGGAAAGATCATCTGGGAAATGTAACGTAAATGGTGGATAATAAGGATTCCCAGGTCATTTAGATGGCATATGGATTTAATGAGGATTTAATTTGAAACTGACCCTACCAGGGAATCTGCAGATTACATGGTTGTTCCGATGACCAAGGAAAAAAATTGCTAAGACTGTATGTATTCTGTTTTTTTTTTAAATATCTGTAATTATAAAGGATTTTTTTTCATGAACAATATTTGAGAGAAATTAAGTTGATATAAGTGCTTTCAGATTGCTTTCTTTCATATATTACAGGCACCGATGTTAACATCTCGAGTCTGAAACCTTCTTTTCCCCCTTTCATATCTATGCAATGAAAACTTCAGCCTGTCCTACCTGTCAGGGGAAAGAAGTGAATCAAAAGCAGCTTCTGGAAGTAATACAGAGCCCTCTAGATGCACAACATTATTTATTCAGGAGTCACTATTCCATTAGAAAAATTATCAGACTCAGTCATTTGCTTGTGATTTTTTAATGATGTTTATGGAACTTTGGAGGATGCTCACACAACTGAATAGGGGGGAAATATGAAAGGAGGACCCATGTATTCACTTGAAATCCAAGAATACACTGAGGCCAAAATGGGCACCACCCAAACACTGACATAATCATAGAACAATGTTCCATGTTCTACTTTAGTGGTAATATTATTTTCAGCCATAACGTTTTGTAAAAGCAGCATGGTCATCTATTCTAAGTTTCAGACCCTTCAAAACTTTGAATATACCTTCCTGAGTGCTTCTCAGACAAGACAGGGCAATGTATTCTGGCCACATGCCCTACATTCTCCTGCCTGTATTCATGCTGCTCACAAGGGGTGCCCACTCTCTGCTTTGGCCACAGAGACAAGCCCAACTTTGTCCTTCTCCCATGTTACTAAATGGCCAAATTCTAATATTTGTATGAACAACTCCTATATGCTCACTCCTATTAAGAACATTATATTTCTCCATTATTTGTTTTAGGTTTTTTTGGTCTGTCCTCCTCAAGCCACTGTTAGCTTGTTGAGTCAAGAATGTACTTTCCATCTTTATGGAACCAGTGTTTGGGATCTGGCATCCAATCTAGCATTAATTTATTAAATCGCAGGAGCAATCAAGCCTCTTTTGGCAAAAAACTAGACATTTATTTTTATCTTAATGGTTTTGGTTAAAAAGATTAATAAAAATAGCATGAAGGTTATAATAGTCTGTTCCCATTCTGAAGTCACCTGTTAATCTTTTATGGAGTTTCTATCACTGCTCATTTTAAAAATGGCATTTATTTAAAAGAGAGAAAATGACAACTTAGAACAGCAACAACTTTAATATTCTTTTGGTTATATAAAAATACAGGTATTTGTGGTTAGTAAAATCTGAATGGGAAAATAGGAAACAGCAAAACTGAGTCAAATTAAACATTAGCACTTCAGTGATAACTTGGCATTCAAGATCTCTTTTCCTTAAAACCACTGGGAGACTGCTTACTATGAGTAAGGAAGGAAATAAGTAAAATTAATAAATGGTCTTGACAATAAATTTTCATAAAATCTAAATCTTTCTTTTAATGGTTATATTTTAGCAATGAAGTAAAGTCTAGTGTTAGGTGGGAAGGGTAGGGGTGAGGGGAGTGGATGGTACAGTGATGAATTGATGCTTAAAAAACTGACAGCTCCCAGAAAACTAACAGAAAAACTGTCAGAGGGCTCCTTATCCAATGATAAACTCATGCTGCTTTTCTGTTTTCACATCTGGGAAGACTGAATACAGGCTGAACATCCCTAATCCAAAAATCCTACATGCTCCGGAATCCAAAACTCTTATTAAGAGTACTGACATGACACAACATGACACGTGGAAAATTCCACTCAGACTTCACGTGACTGGTCAGTAAAAATGTAGATGTGCAACACAGTTGATTTGGTATTCCCAAGGGAATAGGCCCTGCAGCTTTCATACACCAACTTTGTTCCATTTACGCAATTATTAAAAGCATTCTATAAGATTAACTATGTGTATAAAGTACACATGAAACACAACTGAATTTTGTATTTAGACTTTGGTCCTATCCTCAAGATACCTCATTATAATTATATATGAGAAAATATTCCAACTCTGAAAAAATTTGAAATTTAAATCACCTTTGGTCCCAAGCATTTTGGATAGGAATAGACAACTTGTACTTTATATAGAAAATTACAACCGACAAAGGATGCAGATTTTCAAATGTCGTCTTTTGGTATGTACAGTCTAGGAATCATGAAGTTTGTCCAACAAGCTAGTGAGAAGCCCACTGATATTCTAAACTCCCCTTAGCAACACCTCTGCTTAGGCATCTTTTATTCAAGAAGGCAGACAGAATTCTCCAGATTTGCTCATTTCTCATGATTTACTATCCATGTCTTTTGATCATCAGAATTCTGTTTCCACTTTCTAGTCTACTAAATGAAACATGAATAATTTCCCCCCCCCAAATCTTTTCAGCCTAAAAACAACATATGACTTTAGGGTGAATATAAGGCCAGTTGAATGAAGGATTTTAAAGCAAAAAGCTAGTTATACTAGTTTGATATGAAATCTACTAAAAATAGCCACTTTTAACGTGATAAGATGCTAGATGATTGTCTCTGGTAGGATGAATAAAATGCAATATCCTGGGCTCACAGGAAAAAAAAAATCTGGTAGATGACAGAATGTACTTCAATTTGAGAAAGGCAATGCCTTGTCATCAAGACAAGTTGAATTGTGCAGCAAAATATTATAAGTCTGATCTATAAATTGGTATATAAAACTTACAAAATTAAAAAACACAAACTAATCCTAATGATCATGACTTTGAAATTGGTTTGTGATTCCCATTATATTGAGACATACATTCCTAAAAGGAACATTTCCAAAAGGAAAATGTTAGAAAATCAAATCCCTACACTAGAACAAAATTAAAGAATGTGATTGTTCAATAATCAGAAAATCAAAAAGGATTTTTCAAGTTGCTAAAACTAAAAAAGGTTTTCTCTGGTCACCTATGTATGAATTTTGGCTTACAGAATTTGTTAATTTTTTTTTCAAATATTTATTCTTAAGTTTTAGGTGGACACAATATCTTTATTTTTACATATTTACGTGGTTCCAAGGATCGAACCCAGAATCTCGTGCATGCTAGGCAAGCACTCTACCACTGAGCCACAACCCCAGCCCCTAGAATTTGTTAAATTATAGTGTTGGAAAAATTCAGGTTAGCACAGAGTGACCTTTTTCCCAACTGGAGATAATCCATTTTCTTCTTAAAAGGTGCTGAACACAACAGCCAAACTATGGAACCAGCCAATTTTTAAACAAACACTAGACTTGTAAGCTAAGGACTTCCTACTAAAATAGCTACTTTGAATTTCTTTTATTAAAACGAACTTACTAAAGACAGCAATGTTTCCAATTTCTCTAACTTAAGACTTAAAACAGATAGTCAAGGAAAAAAAGCCCCTCAAATGTTTGCAAAATAAAGCAACAAGCTACAATTTTCAATTCCTTATTTGCAATGTTCCAATGAAGTAACAACGTTCCACTTTGAATTAACAGAATCAAAAACTTCTCATATTATTACAAAAACTTTGTGGACCTTATTTTTATGGTTCTTCCTATTGTAGAGCCATGTACATACATACTATAATTAAATGATTGTTTATTTGCCATTATTTAAATAGACTGTTTTCAAGTTTTTGCTATGGTAAATAACACTTTAGTAAACATCTCTGTGCAATATCACACCTCACACATTCTGTTTGACCCAGATTTTTCATAAACATTTAAGATTTTTTTCTGAGGAGTGAAATTCTGTATTGTATGATTTTTAGGGCAAGAGAAAAGTTACCTTATTGCTCAGGTTCACATTTGCATTTCTACTGAGGAGCAGCGATACCATGTCCACGTGCCCTTCCTGAGCTGCGAGATGGACAGAAGCAATTCCTTGCCGGGTAACTGCGTTGGCATCAGCACCATATTCCAGCAGAGTTGTCGCTATGTCCATCTGGTTCTTTTTGGCAGCAATGTGCAGCGGCGTATAACCATTCTGTCAACAAGAATCACTTGGTTACATTCCCAGTAACAAGATAAAAATGCATTTTCAAATAGCATACTTCCCTTTCTAGTGGTTTTGACTGCTTTAAAATTTATAATTAAGTAAGCAAATACTATTAAATCAAGTGGTGTCAGTAATGTAGCACTCTCCTGTCTCCTCTGTTCCTAAGAAGGGATAACATTATATAGACAGTTTATCAAAAGAGGGTACTGTGGGTTTTCAAAAGGAATACAGATTTCCCTCTTATAGGTAGTTAGGTTAGAAGGTGCTCAATACTTACTTACTTTATTTATTTGGCACTAGGGATTGAACCCGGGGTACTCTATCACTGAGCCACATCACCAGCAATTTTTATTTTTTATTTGACTGTGTCTGAGGCTGGCCCCAAACTTGTGATCCTCCTGCTTCAGCCTCACAAGTTGCTGGGATTACTGGTGTGTGCCACTGTTTCCAGCTTGCTTACTTTATTTAAATTAGGAATAGGATGCATCCCTACTGGGAAACAACAAGCAATATGATATCATTGAGGCATGCTGAGAGCCATTCAAAATTTCATTCCCCAAATCCTTTCCTTGAATGGCCACCTAGTATAATTTAAATACATCCTCCAAAATTCATGTATTAGAAATTAAATTCTCAATGCAACAATGTTGAGAAGTGGGACCATTAAGTAGTGATTAGGTCACAAGGGCTCTGCTCCCATGAATGGCTTAATACTGTTTTCTCCAGAAGTGGGTGTTTGATAATAGAACGAGTTCAGTTTGCTTCTGTCTTGTGCTTTTGCTTTCTGCCACAAGATGAAACAGCAAGAAGGCTCCTCACCAGGCATGGATCCCTCTACTTTGGCCTTTCCAGCCTCTAGAACTGTAAAACATAAATCTTTTCTTTATAAAATTCCCAGTCTCAGGTATCCTGTTATAGTAGCACCGAAAGGACTAAGACACTATGTATTGTTATAAGTGGCAATTTGATATTTTCAAGGTAGTCAAGATGCTACAATCTACTTGTTTCCCTATCTGATTTCCTCTTTCACAAAACTCTAGACTCTATGCTCTGTTTTAGTCAGACTGGTCATCCTGCAGGTCTTTAACCAAATACAGTCTCATGTTTTCTGCCTTAACTTACTGTATCAAGAATACTTTTCCCCAACATGCTCATGAGGCCAGTATCTAACGGTTGAAAGTGAAGCACAAAGGCCATGCCCTCAATGAAGTCTTCTATATTTTTCCACTGTCCAAACCCCAATAATCAGGCCCTCAGTCTGACTATAATTAGTCTTGGGGACATTCAATGGCATTCTTTTGTTTATGTATGAGCCTATATTTCCTAAAATATAAATCTGTGATGGGCACATACTGTTTTGGAACTGACTGTACCTCCAGCGGCCCACAATAACTGGTACATATTGATTAAATGAAGAAAGTAATCTTCAGAATTTGAATCAAGTGTATAATAGCTTTCCTAACATTGTGGCTTCCTTCTCTTGGCTGAGCCCTGATACTCAGCTACAGTCAACCACAATTCTTTTGATAAATTGTTAATTAGCCACACCTCAGGAAACTCTAAAGGCTCCTGACCCGAGAAAGCTCTGGGTTCTTTGCCCTAGTTCACAGTCATTTAAGGGAAATGCAAGATTACATTTCGATATGAACTTGAATCTGACCATATAAAATGGAAATGGAAAGTGGAAATGTTACTGCTAGACTCTTCTGAAACCAGTCTCTGCCAAACTGGATAAGCCAGTGTAGAAGAACACTTTATATCCCTATTTTTAGTCTGACCTCGTGCCATCTGTAAACCCCAGCTGCCCTGGGAAGCATTTGGCCCTCTGCTCAGACACACCCTTCAGAGACCAGTGCCTGCAGAGTCCAATGCAGAGATCTGGAGTGAAGCCAACAACACAATGAGAAATAGGAGGGGTGAGCTGTTTCACCATCCTCCACAACGTAGAAGATTCACAAAGCAAATTAGAGAGGTAAAGGCAAGGTCCAGACAGAAGTTAGCTTCTTATCCAGAATCTTATTTCTTTTTGCTTTTATGACAGACACAACCTTCGGGTTAGTCACTTCTCAATACCTAACTGAGGAAAGGCATATCCTCTCAGATATGACAGTCTTCTCCGTTACTAAAAAGTCCTAGGACCAGGACCTATTATAAAGGGGTGCTCTAGTATCTCTGTAATGTATGCCAGTTCAGACAAGTTCCTTACTATTGCTTAGGATTTTATCCTGAGTTCCTTATCTGAGACACAAAGGAAAGTACAGAACAAGGGAAGAATGATTCATGGCGTTATTTTAGAATGGGAAATTATCTCAGAATGACTAAAGAAATATTTTCAAATAATGAAGTTTCTCTGAGACCTATAAATTTTCTTCCTAAATTATCTAAATTCTTTCTATTTTATGGAAAGTAAAATGGTTTTACTTGCCACACTAAATGAAGAAGATGCATTAACTGGATAAGTAAAATAGGAAGAGATTCAATTACAGAATAATCTTAGTCTCTATTTCTTTCCTCTTGATGTAGGAGACAAAAGACTTGTCGTGTGTACCTTTGCATCTCACAATTAAAACAAATGTAATTTTAAATCATCAAAGTAATACATAGTTTTTATATTTTTTTTCCAATTTTTTTTCATAAATATTCTTACCTATATCCATAGACATTTTGCATATTTTATCTAATAGAAATCTGACAAATAACAATAAAGCTCACTGTCTCTTCCATAATTAGTGTACAGGTTATGCCTGAACTCAAGCCAATATTCTTTCCAGCACAGTTTCCTGTCTCATGAAACTGAGCTGGCTAAAATTGGCTGGATTACAGCAGCCCATCTACTTTATTTTACCTAAATCACATCATACTTATAGAATATATGGGAGTAAGAAAACACATTGGCAATTTTAAAGAAGGGAAGAAAAGTAAGAATGTATTGCATGCTCTAAAAGACAGAGGATGTGATCTAAGGAAGAGGAGACACCCACATGGTAATCATGCTCTCTTGAGGCTTTGTCCCTCACTTCTCATCACTGCCCAAAAGAGCTTCTCTGGAGTAAAGACTGCCTAGTCTAATTTCATTCTCCTCCCTTTAGCGAAGGAACATCTGGCAGGGTATCCAGCTAACAAACTACATTTCCCAGCTTTCCTTGCAAATAGAAGTGACCAATGAGATTTAGGAAAGGGGTGGGTGGGGTTTCTGAGAAAGCCCTGCTGTGCTGACTTTCCTTCTGCCTGTTGCCTTGCTGCTGGCAGCCTGTGCTGTAGCCACCTCTAAAAGAAAGGACCCCGAACAAAACAAAACAAAACAAAAACAAGAGGAATTTGCCTGAACAAACAACTAAACCAGCATCAACAACTGCCTTGCCTACCTCCTGACTCTTCATGACACGAGAAATATGGAGCCTCATCAGGCTCCTCCTCATTATTAAAATAATGGAATCGGGAGTTTTTTTTTTTTTAAGTTTTGTTTTCTTCCTAGCAGACAAAGCCAATCCCTGATACGACTGACTGCCTTTGCTCAGGAACAAAGTCTAGAATAAATCCCTGACCGGTACCACTGCCTTAGAAGATGGGGATGGTTGGATGTGTGCCAGAGATGGCATTACACAGGCTCTTGCAAGGCAACTGTGCAATAGGAAAGAGAATCAATGTCCCATTTAAAAGCCTGTGTTTAATTGACTGTAAAATATATGCCTGAGGCTAATGGAATGTTATAAGGAGTTATTTAAAGAACTGCTCTTTAACTCTTTGTCAAAAGATGTTTTGCAAATATGGAACCATGAATACCAAATCTTACCTGACAAATGTAAAGCTGGAATCAACTACAAATGATACCAACTATTAACCTGTGTAAGAGTTATTCGTGGACAGAAAGATGGATTGGATTCATTTTGTCACACATAACTTTTGTCAGCTATAAACTGCTTGGCACTAGTTGTACCAACATTACTCCCATGTGAGTGATAGTTACTTGTTACCTTTCAAAACTCTGAGGTTACTTACAAGGCAAGGAGCCTGCATGCATTGGGATATTGAAATTAAATGGACAACCATTAAATTCTTTAAAATTATGGTAAGGCTTTGGATGTGGCTCAGTGGTAGCTTCTTACATGTGCAAGGCCTTGGATTTGATCCCAAGCATCTCAAAAAATGTTTTAAAAAATTATGGTAAAATATATATAACAAAATTTCACATTTAAAGCATTTTTAAGTGTATAGATTGGTGTTGATAAGCACCTTCATACTGTTTTCCAACTATGATCACTACCCATTTGCAGAACTTCTCCATTTTTCTAATTTTTCTAAACTGAAACTTGGTATTCATTTAATCTAACTTTCATTTACTCCTTCCACCTATCTCTGACAACCACTATTCTACTGCTGTCTCTAAATGTGACTATTCTATGTACCACAAAAGTAAAATCATACAATATTTGTCCTAAGACTGAATAATATTCCATTGTGTATATGTGCACATACTCACATGTGTGGGTTTACACATACATGGCCCACATTTTTATTTATTCATACACTGATGGACACTTGGGCTCTTTCCATCTCTTGGCCCTGTGAATAATTTTTTTTTTTTCTTTTCAAGATAAAATTTTATTAAGGCTTAGCAGGGCTTGATAAACTTTTTTCATAACAGACCAAATATATGGTAGGGGTCACATATAGACAAAAATCAGGTTTCAGGAGGTTTGCTTTGAATTTATTTCAGTGGGTATGGTTCTGGAGGGGATGAGGCAGAAAACGATTTAAGAATGAAGGAAACCTGGTGTGGTGGCACATGCCTATAATCCCAGTGGGACAAGAGGCTGAGGCAGGAGGATTGAAAGTTCAGAGCCAACCTCAGCAACTTAGTGAGACACTGAGCAACTTAGACCCTGTCTCACAATAAAAGAAATAAAAAGAGGTGGGGATGTGGCTTAATGTTTAAGTAGCAAAAAAGAAAAAAAAAAGCACAAAAAATATTCTGAGGAGAAACACTCATATTTTCCATATGGAGAAAGTCACTAGAACTTTCTTAAAGTATCTAAAGTAACCTAGAACAGGTTAGTTACCTGTGTATACAATTGATTTGATCTAAACATTAAATTTAAAGGCGAGTATAGAAATTCCTCCAAAATGAAATGGTAAAACAAAGAGGCAAAAAGCATTAGGATAATTAAAGGGTTTTCAACCAACAGGATGTAGTAAAAGAAATAGGTAATATTTAAAATGTAGTTTGTGGAGGGGAGGAAAAGGGGGAGGAACTGGGAATGAAATTAACCAAATTATGTTATATGCATGTATGAATATGTAACAATGAATACCACTATTATGTATAATTATAATGTACCAATAAAAAAGCTATAAATTAAAGATAAATTATGGTTTGCATTATTTAAGCATTCTCTGATCATAATCATCTGCTCAATAATGCGGAATATACTAATCCAGTAGCACTCTATTAATTCATCTTTAAATAAACTCTGCTTTATGATTAGCCACTCAAATCAGAATACCAGAATAATAAAATGGCTACATACACTATATTCTTTTTCATCAGAAATCTAAGATGTCTACTCTTCAAAATGCCCTAACAATAATGAGGATTCCTTCTAGTGATAATAAAAACACACATGCAGAACCTTCCAACTCCTCTCATGAAACACAAGCAACTTGATAGCAATGTTTTATTGCTAGAAAAAGAGTATGTATTTTATAATTTTGACAAATTGGAACTTTCTTACTGTGTCACCTCAGGCTGTGCTTATGTTTTTAATCTGGCTGAAAACTCCAACTTCTTTTCTTCCCCAGGATTCAGGATGTTCTGGATTTCCAAGGGAAATCAACTGACACGTAAATATTTATTGAGCATCTACCACATTAATTGACTAAATAGCCGAAGGCACCAATTTCCTAGGAGCTTCTATTTCTGTGATTTTTAAGCGATTTCCAAATGAGATGGGTGCTATGGTGAGAGCGAATGAAACTCAATGTGCACACAGATAGATATTGTGTATCGTCCTCTTCATGGTGTGAGTTACAGGTACCTTTGCTGCTGCATGAGGTGAGGCTCCTTGGTCCAAAAGCAGAAGGGCCACCTTCTGATTATCATAATGTGCAGCTACATGCAGTGGAGTTAGTCCGCTCTGAAAACACGTGCAGAAACAACAACCAGGGTCAAAAGTGTATTAATAGGAGAGTCCAGGTCTACATTTAGGAAATGGGATTAGAATGGATATAACATAAGTTGTAGTTTATATTCCACTTCCACAATACTTGGACCAAACATTCACCCATTTCCCGAGAATTCTTCATCCTACTGGGACTTAAATATAATTTAGTTGTCATCTAGTTGGCCTTTGGGGAATATTAGCAAGTGCTTTTTTGTTATCAGTGGAAGTGTTCTGGTACAAGTGGCTGTTGACCTCATACCTTCCCAGCAGCATCTGGAGATGCACTTTTTTGTAACAGGAGATTGGCTACTTCAAGCTTCCCGTATTTTGCTGCCACATGAAGAGGAGTAAATCCTTTCTAAAAAAGGAAAAAAAAATAAAGAACAACAGAAATTACATAGGCCATTGTTTTTCTGTAACTGAAAAAGTATTCTAGTGATGATGACGTTAAATCTCTATGTAAGAATCAAGATTATAAGACAAGTACCTGGGAGAAGAGGAACACCCAACAAGAGAATCTTTCTTCCTCTACTGACTAAACCATAACATTCCACTAATTTTGGAACTAATCAGGTACCTCATCAGGAAGAAGGTAGGGAGCTGAATCTGGAGTTATTCTATGGCCATTTGGGGGCTTTACATTGTGGGAAGAATAGGTTTATGGGGACCCAGATCCAAGTTGGAGAGTTTGGGAAAATCCACCCCAAGTCTGAGCCTCTTGTAATCTCACATCACCTGATTGGGAACTTGCTCTATGAATACACATAATTTCCTTATCATGCTCCACTCTTTAGGAGTAGGCAACGGAAATCTTTCACATTTGCCACTATAGATGAACTGAGTAATGACACTGGATGTTAATAATTTGTATTGCTCTTCTATTCTTCCATCTATCAATCAACCAGTTAGTTAGCATGCACCATTAGGGTGGGTCTGGAGCAAGCATCAGGAATTGGAGGGTTATCAACATATATGACCCATGAGACTGCAGCAAATAAGAGCCAATGGGCGGCTGGTATGGTGGAAGGTCAGGGGCACTCCAAACCCATCACCCATTATTCTGATTCACATATGAAATGAGATCCAGGAACTTGCAACTTAACTCTATTTAAGAGGCCAAAAGAATCTTGGGAGTTAAAGTTTGAGGTAGTTATCATTTATTCAGATGGTTTTCTAAGTATTTGTAATTATCTTCTGCATTGATTTCACATTAATCCTTATCTGCATCCAAATAAAAGACTGCAGCATCTATTGCAAGTGTTTTTAACATAGACCATCCATCTTGTTATTACACTTGCTAAGTTTATGTAGTATCACAAGAAAAATGAGCTCCAATTTTGTGCTCTGTACATGTAGAACAACTGTGGCCCAGGCTATTACTCTAAGATATAATCAAGAGTTTCTTTTCTTTTTTTTTTTTTTTTAAATCAAACATAACAACAATGACAACAAAAAGAATAGAAACAACAAATTTAAAAAAAATCTTGATTTGAAAGTTTTTTTTTTTTTTTTAAAGCATCTATCAACTGATATGGGGTTTGATATGGGGTTTCAGTACTTGGGCTCAATACAAGAAATTGGTAACTATGTTTTCAAACTACAATTTAAGTTAATCATAAAACTTGCAAGAAATTTCAGATTCTACATATCAGTAAGATTTTATAACAAGGTCACATACTGAGAAATTTAAGGCCAAAATAAAAACCTTCCCCAAATACAAAGAACTATCCTCCTGCACACCAGGGTTTTACTGGCCATGTTAATAATAACTACCCGGGATCCCAAGTATAGATGCTGTTGTGCAGCTCTGTACCTATTACATGCAGGGAGCCTTGAGGGGGATGTACTTTGGGGGACCCAGCAGGATTCTGAGACTTGTTTTCCTACCTTTGTTGTTATAGATAAAGATGCTCCATGATCCAAAAGGAATGCGGCTACGTCTTCATGCCCCTCTCGGGCTGAAAGATGGAGGGGGGTGTACCCAGAAGTTGTGGCTGCGTTTGGAGATGCTCCTTGCTGCAATAGCTGTTGCACTATGTCTGCTTTCCCCAGTCGGGCTGAAATGTGGAGTGGGGTTTGGTCATCCTAAATGGCAAGGTAGAAATGTGAGACTGATGAACTCAGAAAACAATGGTACCATATGAAAAATTCAGGGAACATTAGCTGCTTGATGGTGGAGGCACATTAAACTCTTTGATTCAATGTTAATAGGAATCTCATTTATCGTTTTCTACAAGGTTTAGAAATGTGGGGATGGTGGATCTATTAATATGAAAACTGAAAGGTGGGTCTATCTATAGATTATCACCACTACAAAATGCTATAGAATATCAATTTTCAACCTCTAGTGACCCTTTTTTTGGGAAGATAAAAGAATGGATTCTAGTAAAACTCATATACCTGAGATTCTAGTAAAACTCACATATCTACACTGGTTATTATGCACTCACGGAATGAATGATTTTATTGGTGCTTGCCTTCTCATTGCTAAAAGCAAAGGGAGCGGAGGGGAGTATCGGCCTGTGCAGGTGTCTAGGTACCAAGGTTCCCAGCCAGGAGGGATGATGGAAGCTGATACTCTGGTACCAAGCCATGCTCCTGGTGTGAATATGCCCAGAATGGAGAGCCACATTGTTACAATCCATCCAAAGGCATAAAGTGCTTACCAAGTGCTTTGCCCTTAGAGCCTTATCCCCAAGTAACACTTCTACCTAATTTTCTCAAAGATGCCCTGTAACAGTCCTCCAAAAAAGAAATTCCTACAGAAATGTGATACAAGTTTAGGTAAATATTTTAAGCCAGGAAGGTACAGAGTGTAGAATATAGGCCACTGTTTTGGATGAGTGTCAAGGTCAAAGTCAAAGGGGCTACATAACCCCTTTGACTAGAATGCATAAGAGAAGTTGGAGGAATGCCCCAAAGAAGAAGAGGAATATTGAAAACAGAAAAAGGCACCAGGAAAAATTTTTCCTTTTATTACTGCCATTACAATCACCAAATACTTACTGAGCACCTATTGTTTTCCAGCTCTGTTTAAACTACTTTACCTACATTACTTCATTAATATTCACAAAAATCCTATGAATTGGAACAAACATTGTTCCCACTTTCTATATGAGGCCTTTAAATGAGAAAATGTGGCACATGGATGTTAATTAACTTGCCCAATGTTACATAGTTACTAAATTGTGGACCAAGATTCAAGCCCAAGGTTGAGAACAGGCCCTTGACAATTAAACATACTTCCTCCTTAATGAAATAATATGTATAAATTATGTATAAATATGTCTATGAAATCATTCCATAGACATGATGTTTAATATGTAACTAACAAACTCTTGAATATGAAGTTTCTTATAATCTATGGTAGATTACAGCTTCTCTTAGTCATTCCATTTAACTAATTTAGAGGAATAACTAAAACCCTCTATCAGAGGTCAGCAAACTAAAATGCAGGTGCCAAATCTGGCTGCCACATATTTTTTTGTAAATAGAGTTTTATTGGAATACAGTCATGTCCATTCACAGATGTCTGCCACTGCTTTTGCACTACAATGGCAGAGTTGTGAAGCTGTGACAGACCCTGCAAAGCCTAAAATATTTACTATCAGCCTCTGTACAGGAAGAGCCTGCTGACCTGTTTCCAGATCATGAATGGGATCCACCAACTGGCCCATGGTACACTAGACAATCAAGATTTTTCTTTTTAACAACCTTTGCAATTAACTGTGGATTTCATGTTCACAAAGAGCCAGTGGCTTATTCCCACACCACTATACAGGTACTAATTATTTTATTAGATTGTCCTATACTTGTATTATACTTGTATACCTACTGAGCACCTACTTAATTATATATTTAAGCAATAAGTAATAGGTAAAATATGAGTATGAAAGGAAAAGCTTTATTTTTCCCTAGGAATAAGCTGACAGTTTCATGGCCTTGATATAAGTTTATTAAAAATTTCTGGCTAAATTAGCTATGCGTGAGATAGCTGAATACAGGGGGAAAATTATAAAAGTCTGAAAATATTGTATACTCTAATACTAATTAACCTGAATCTATGCACTTGCACTTTATGCAAGTGGCAATAAATGAACATTTATATATTATAATTAAAAATTTAATGGTTAAGGTTTTTATGTACTTGTTAAGATTTTTGACCTGAACTGCCATTCTGATAATCAGACCAACTGTCTATCCCAAAACTTATAAGTGGGTTTCTACTGGAGGCTAAACACCAGGGAGACTAGGAAGCATCCAAAATCAACCCTGACATTCTTCTTACATGTAAAGGTAGATCTCTGAAGTGGCTCTAATCTGGGCCTCAGGTATTACAGTGTCATGATTTACAGAGAAAAAATAAAATCATCTGTTTTCCTTTTGCACCAGCTGACATATGAATCAACCAAAATAGCTTAACCATGCTTCAAGTTGTGCTTATTCTGGAATCTTTGCACATAAGCCCTTCTTCATGTAGTGTGGAAAACTCTGGACCAAGTCTGGATCTGTTAGGGACTAGAAAGTGTCACAAGGGCAGTTTCTGGCATAATATTTTTATTTAACATAATTATATTAAATAACTGAATGAACAAATATGGAGGGAAGGGATTTTTTTTACAAAATTACTTGGGCAGAAACTTTTGTTACTAGAGGTTGTTCATTATTTTAAAATGGTATTGAAAGATAGCATGTATGTGTCTAAAAGTTTTGTTAAAATCCAGGATTTTTTCCTCAATAGCAAATGGTTCCATGTATGGCACATACCTTAGCTTTAGCTTCCACCTGAGCTCCATCTTGTACCAGGTACCGCACAACTTCAGCTTGGCCGGACCGAGCTGCCATATGCAATGCTGTTTCTCCTCTCTGGGAACATGAGCCAAAATAAATTAATTGAAGCTCTGAAGAGGAGTGGCTTGTTTTATTTGGCATAAAGTTTAGGATGACCCTTTTAAAAAATTACTATTTTAAGCACTTTCTTATTGAAAAGCTAGGATATCAAATACATAAAAATTTCATAGGAAACTGATCTATGATGGTAGAGACTTTGGTGTAACCCTAGGAAATCTTGTCACTGACAGTATCAGAAATGTAATCTACAAAATGGCCTTATTAGGGTTGAAAAGGTGAATGCTCAGTGGGGCCAAGTAGAATAGTAAGTCAAGGAAGCAAAACAGGTGGGGAGAACTTAACAAGAGAGTTCTGCACATTCCCTAACGGGGGCAGCCACCACCTTGCAGCTGCAGATTGCTGTTGTAACTCTTCAAGATGCCAACCTGAAGAGTTTTTTTTGACACCTCTGTGTTGTCAAAAAGTTGATTGGCAGTCTGGATATCTGGGTAAACTTCAATTCTTAATTCTTAATGATGATTACAAAATCAGAATTAAAAACAAAATATTGCATGGTGTTATGGTTTAGATGTTAGGTATCTCCCCAAATCTCATATGTGTGACAATGCAAGAAAGTTTAGAGGTGAAATGATTGGGTCATGAGTGCTGCAATCAAATCAGTGCATTAATCCATTAATAGGGATTAACTGGGTGGTAACTGTAGGCAGGTAAGGTGTGGCTGGAAGAAGTGGGCATTGGGGGCTTGCCTTTGGGGTATATATTTTGCACTGACAAGTGGAACACTTTCTCTTCTTCCTTATTGTAATGTCCTGCGCTTCCTTCCTCTTCCACCATGATGGTCTGCCTTACTGAGACCTAGAGCAACAGAGGAAGTCCTCTATGGACTGATACCTCTGAAACTGTGAGCACCCAATAAACTTTTCCTCATAAAATTGCTCTTCAGGTCTTTTTGGTCATAGCAACAAAAAAGCTGACTCAAACATGGGTACCAAAAAACATGCCCCAACCCAGACTAGGCTTATCTTTGGTTCCTTTGCATCCTCTGCTTTATGTGAACAGAAAACTTGGTCCTTAGCATTACCCCAAGGGGCCATTTTCTTTGCCAGTGGACCATCCCTCCCTCACATTTTTCACTAAACAGATTTCATTCAGATTATTTGTTTATTTAATAAAAATGAGATAGAAAACATGTAAAAGTAATCACAATCAAAATTTTATTTGATTTTTCACACAAGTGATGCCTATTAATATTTTGTTTTTATAAATTAAGCTTTGTATAATGGGTCATCTATCTGTATGGAAGGACAGAGGAAGACATATTTCACAGGAAACTTATTACTGGATTATGGGAAAGATATTAAGGATGTTGTTTAGTTTATTACCCTGTGTTCTATTAAGGAAGGAAAACATAACTCACTCGTAACTCCAGATTTAGTAGATTATATTTCAATTGAGAAACTGGTCTGTTTCTATCTGTGGCGGTGCTAGTTGGAAATTCTAGAATATAAATAGCCCTATAGGTAAGGCTGTTCTCAAGGTGAGTAGGCAAGACTTCATGGCTTATCCCTTCTGATCCAGACATTATTTATTTTTATTTCTTTAGTGTTCATGAGTCCAATGAGTATTCTAATAGTTGTGGTCCAGTGTGTTAACACTTTGATAATATCATGTTTGAAATTCTATAAAACAATACTAAATTCCACATGCACATCAAGGGTGGTAAGTTACTGCTCTGATATTTACTCTGAAGTGAATCTCTTGGGTTTGACAGCAATGCTTATTGTGGGAAAACAATGCCACTGGAAAACCTGAAAACTCAGTTCCATAGGTTTTCTGTAAGATGGAGGACATTTAATAGAGATTACTTTGAAGTTATTTGCAATTACTTCTTAATATAAATGATAGTGTCTGAACCACCTCGACAACATTTTATTACTTTTTTTAACCTCACTTTTTATGGTTTCAGTTTTAGAAGAATTTGCCTAATACTTTAATTTATTTTTATTTTTTTAATATTTATTTTTAGGTGTAGTTGGACACAATACCTTTATTTATTTATTTATTTTTATGTGGTGCTGAGGATCAAACCCAGGGCCCCATATGTGTTAGGTGAGTGCTCTACTGTTGAGCCACAACCCCAGCCCCAATACTTTATTTTTTAAAACATAACGTACAGTAATAATGTACTTGTAACGTTAATGGACGTAGTCCATAAATTATAACAATTTGTGGCCAACTAGCAATTGACTGCATCTTATCTTCAAAGTAAAGGAAAGCAAAAGTAATTCCCAAATTTTATCTTTTTAAGTGGTCAAATTAAATAGCAATTATTTTGAGCAAATAAAAGCAACCTATGTCAGTTTCTTAAATATTCACAATTGAACCTTCTTTGTTAAAAGAATACTTACCACATTGGTGGTGTTTGGTGAGGCTCCATGATGCATTAATTGTGATACAATATTTACATGTCCCATGAAGGCAGCAACATGGATTGGGGTAAGGCCCGACTAAGTGAAAAGGAAAGAAATGTTGATTTGTTGGTTTATCATTAAAAGAGTTTGACTGTGAGCCTGTCTTCTATCCACCCTCTGATCCATCCCTTGGTCTCAACAAGTTTAATGATCAGATTAGAAGATATCAGGACATTTACCATTATGTCAAAGATTCTCTAAGGCAAATATGTCAACACATAGTACCACTTTGCTAGAGTGAGTTCTGTGGTTATATGATGTCCAGTAAAGAAAGTTTCATACTTTTGATATGGCTCTAAGAAAAGAAAATGAGAGAGAAATACCTTAAAGGATTTTTTCTTTTATTAGTAGCCCTTCTTTATCCACATGAGTATATATATGTTGAGGGGTGCAGAATTACTATGTACACGTTAGTAAGAAATTAACTTGTTCCAAATCCTATTCTGGGGTTTAAAGAGAATTCCCATGCACTCAGAATAAACTGAGTATTACGTATCAAAGGGCAGGGTACCTAACACAAAGCCATTCCTCTAATAAATGGGCAAATCAACATTAACAGTTTGTTATTTACTTTGCTAACTCTATAGTATCATAAATTAAGGCAAAATAATTAAGGCAAATATCACAATGGTCACTAAACAAAGTGATTTTTTTATTTGTTTGCTTCAAATCTCCCAGTTATGCATGGGCACCGCCCATCCCTCTAAAAGGAAAAAAAAAAAAAAAAAAACCAAAAACCCTATTTGGCATAAAGCAGCATTTATTGATTCCAGAGTATTTTATATCAAATATACCCACAGCTGCTTGAAATAGAGTAGATAAGCAAAAAAGAGGATTAAAATCTCAAGTCAATAATCTTGTTAAACATTACAATTTACTTGTGCTTTTTATATGAAGTGGTTCCACTTTTATTTTTCAGAACTTAATTAAGCTTACATCATGAACATTATAATTTGATTTAAAAAAATTAAGATGGCTAGAAAAAGCTTACCTGTTTTAAAAAGGAAGATAACGGGATAACTAAATCTCAAGAGAAATTTGAGAGTTGTCAAAAACATGGAAGGAATTCTATGAAGTAGTAGTGAAGTAAAAGCAGAGGAATAATTCTGGCTGCCCAGATTTCAGAGAGTGAGAACTGAAGAAAAGGAGAATTTTGCTACAGTTTGCACCTTTTTCCATCAGCAGGGGGAGTCCTTAGAACTTGTACCAGGCAATGTCTGTGTCTGAACAGCCTTTAGGTTCTTAGGGAGCACGGGGTAGCAACAGAACCTTCTCATCACTGGCCAGCCTCTCTGGACACTTATTCAAAACATCAGTCAATCTTTTATCTGAATCTATTTTGATCTTTAAAAAGGGTTCCCATGCACTGAGAATAAATTTACTATTTTATACTTAAAATAATAGGTTGCCTAACTTGAAGTTATAAATCTGATAAAAGATCAAATTGACATTAGTATTTTAACCATTTAATATTTAAAAATTACTAATGTTACAAATGAAAGGCAAATATTCCATTCACAGGTAAGAACATGAAGCCAAGAAACAATTACTAGACTTTAATCTTCATGTTAAACATCAAGCATTTAATCAAACTACGTGTGGATCAGGCACTGTGGGTATGTGAAGACTGGAATGACTCTCCCTGCCTTCAGAGAGGCTGAAGTTTCTGGGGCCAAAGAGGAGCAGCTGAGTCAAGAGCAAGACAGCTGGATAAGTGCTTTGATAGAAACACGTACAGGATGGGTGACTGTCCCTAGAAGGAGCACCTAGTTCAGACCAGAGGTGAAGGGGAAGTTTCCTGGTGAAGGTGGCCCTGATCTGTGGAGGGTAGGGTTAAGGGTGGTACAAGTCTGGAGGGAAAAAGGCTAGTCTGGGTTTGCCATATTGAAGGCTCAGTCCTGATTCTGATGGGTTGTTTCTGAGTTGGTTTGTATGAAAGAAATCTAGAGCTAGTCCTTCACTACCTTTGGCAACTCTGTGTTTCATGAATTGTGAGCTTTTCAGCAAAGAAAGTAATCCTTGATGTATGAAAGCACACAGATCATGGTTGATCATGGTTAAACATGGTTAAACTTTAGTGCATCTGACATTTTGAGCCAGATTACTGTTTATAGTAGTAGGAGGATATCTCGTAGCTTGCAAAATGTTTAGCAGCATCCCTGGCCTCTGCTCAAGAGCAACAGGAGTACTATCCAGTTGTAACAACTCAGAATACCTCCAGTCATTGCCAAGTGGTTCTTAGGGGACAAAGTCACCTCCACTAGAGAAGCGCTACATTATAAGTTTTCATATGTTGAGCTTTTTGTGATGGTGTCACTCACCTGCAGCGTGCGTTCTGGGTTGTATGTCTAGTCATGGGACACATTTATTTCTACCCACCCACACTCCTGTCTGCTTCTTCAAAGGCCTGACAGCCCTTTTCCTGAAGAGTTTTGAATGTGGTCTCTGGCAATGACACACAAACAGAACTAGCTGGTCCCTGCAGATGGTACTGGAACTCTGCCTATTCTCTCAGCACCTCAAGAAACCCAGAAATCCCACTCCTCTTACCTCGGTTACAGCTTGGATGGATGCACCATGTTTCAGAAGGAGTTCCATTACTTTAATTCGATTCTTTTTGCAGGCAATATGAAGAGGGGTAAAGCCATTCTGCAAGGGACAAATATGAATCTGTTTGATTACTTTCCATTGAAACTCATTTTAATCTTGTGCAGTGAAATATTACAATACAGTTAAAATGCTGTATGGTAAAGATGTCAAAATAGGCCCAGCACAGTGGCACAGGCCTGTAATCCCAGGGGCTCAGGAGGCTGAGGTAGGAGGATTGTGAGTTCAATTGTGCTAAGCAATTCAGTGAGACTCCGTCTCTAAATAAAATACAAAGTAGGGCTGAGGATGTGGCTCAGTGGTTGAGTGCCCCTGAGTTTAATCCCTGGTACCCCTTCTCCCCCACCCCCCCCCCCAAAAAAAAATGTCAAAATAAACAGAAAAACTATGAGGAATTAAACAGGATGTTGATCCTTCTCTGGGAGCACAGGTAGTATAGTGGCCCCTAGAGCTTAAGATGTCCTGATAGTTGTGAAGAGGAAGTAAATGTTGGTCACAATTTCTTGGTAGCTAAGGCAAGATACTCATCACTTTCTTATTATTTTGGCATTCACTCCTCTAAATAATATCCTTTTTCAATCTCACTTCAAACACATCGTAAAAACAGCTTGACTCAAATGTGTATCCTTATAGTTAAACTTCCCCATTTTGCCTGTTTTGACTTCCTGCTGTGTTTTAGTATAACTATAAGGCCAGTTCTAAAATGTTTCCATTTATTCTCAAGCTTTAAGATTCAAGTAGGTGCTTACTCCAAGGATGTATAAATTTGAAGAGTTCAACATTACTTGAACTATTTGCTTTAATATTGAATCTGATGAAATAATCTGCTTTTTAACAAACTACCTATCAAATTATCCATCCTAATAACTGAGACTGTCTACAAACTTCAGCCATTAATGGAGAACTATCAAATACCAGGTCCATGATAAACACTTAGGTCAAAGTCATTGCAGGTGCCTTCAGGGAGGTTCCTGAGACCATTTCTCTGGTCATAGTCCATGCCAGGATGACTGGTTACAACCTCCATATGTTGTGAAATCTTCAGAGTCATAGGAAAATGAGAATGACAGCCCACACCCTGTTTTAAGACCTTTTTTTTTTTTTCTTGTATGGAAAAATGAGTCATGATTGCTAATTTTTTTTCCTCCCTTCTGAGAATTCAGACACATTTGACACACTGAGCAGGTCAATAGTTGTTAAGTGCTACCTGGATAAGCACTTTTAGGATTACAATGGCAATGTAGTCATCCAAGGTCTGGAGAGTTCCTGCTCTTCATTTTTTGCTGCCTTTCTGAATTTCAGAGCTCAGAGAACTCTGGAGACACTATGGATCCATTTAGACAACTGCACCATTTGGAAAGGAGCAGAGTCCTTCCTGAAAGGGTTGACTGGATGTCAGGTTTTACCACAAAATTGATAAATTTTGCATGCTTTCCCTAAAATCGGGTGACTTTTTCCTCTTGCTATGCATGGGTGCTTATTCTAAACTAAATTTAAATAGTTTACTAAGTTGGGACCATTCATCTTTGCAAAGACAACACACACCATCATGTTGAGAAAATCAAAATACAGCCCATTTAAAGGTTAAAAGAGCAAATTATTTTCAGAGTTAAGACTGCAAATTAGACCAACATTTTGATTGTCACAAGAAAGATGAAAACAATAGGCAACATTTTGTTAAGGCCCACATAAAACTTTGGCTCATGAATTTCTATGTAGAGGTGCTTTTAATTTTTTTTTAATAATTTTGCCTCATGCTTTTAGATCTCAGAAAAAAAAATCTCTTAACTCACACAACTATAATTTTACCTATCGTAAGTTGAGGCTGAGTACTTCAGCCTTTTTATAAGTTGTGCAGTTCTTGCGGTTCATTTATATCACGAATCACAATTATGACCTTGAAGAGTTAACAATTTAACTCCATCAGCTTTGTTCACGTCAGAAATAGAAGGCTCTACAAAATTCTAAGAAGGGCATTTGAAAACATTGGCAAAAAGCATACTTGACTTAAAGAACACCATCCATTTTTGTCCCTGAAAGCAATCTCTTCACACGTGAGCTAGCATGTCGCCAGCAAGACAGCTCAGGCTGGGCTCACTGGTGGTTCCACTCACCAGGGCTTTGGCATTGGGGTTAGCTTTCTTATCCAAGAGAACCTTAGCAACTTTGTAATGGCCACAGTGGGCAGCCACGTGTAGGGCAGTCAGGTAGTCATTGGTGACATCATCCACAGGTACATTATGCTGGAGGAGAAGTTGGACGCAGTTTAAATGATCCCCTTGCGTGGCCATGTGCAGTGGAGACAACCCATTCTGGAACACACAAATAAATTCAGGTTTATTGTTTTACCTTTTAAACACAAATGTTCCTAACACAACTATGAACACAAGAAAACTCTAGTTTCTCACATGGAAATACCTTGTTTTTAAAAGGTTTTGATACCATTTTTGAACTCCAGCTACTTTAAAAACTGGTCCTCCCACTTCTCCTATCAATCAAAAATGAATTGTCAAGGATAATTTCTTTTCCTGATTTAGTAGTAGTAAAATTTTTATTAGGGGCCAGAATTCACTGCATTTAAAAATACTTTTAGTTGTAGATGAACACAATATATTTATTATTATTTTTTAATGCAGTGCTGAGAATCAAACTCAGTGCCTCACACATGCTAGCCACAATCCCAGTCCATACTGCATTCTTAATGAACAGGAATTCCTATTTAAGACTAAAAGGAAAAATTAAAGGCAAGAACAGACTGGCAATCACTGGACTGGTATTTACTTTGCCTTATCGTTTATTAATGCTTGATATTGAATATGGCACCGATTCAATTTTTTTTTAAAAAAAGATCTGACTACAACAAAACACTTCACCTTATATCAACACAGAAGAAAACATTTCCCATTTCTATAAATCTGGTGCCCCCATGTGTCTCTACAGGGGAAAGGCAAGGCGCTGGCTCACTAACGCTTGCCTTAGTTTAAATCAAGTGAGTTTAATGACAGTTAATCATGTACAATATGAATGAGTTGAAAATTCATGTAAAGAGATCAAAGAAGACATGAATAGGGTCAAAAGTAAACCAAATCTTTTTATTTTAAAATTTATTTTACAGTAGAATACATTTTGACATACTGTATAGAAATGGAGCATAACTTCTCATCCCTCCGGCAGCATATGCTGCAGAGTCACTCCAATAGTGTAATCATACATGTATATAGGGTGATAATGTCTGATCATTCTATCATCCTTCCCTTCCCCACAACCCTAACCCTCCCTTCACTCCCCTCTACACAAACCAAAGTTCCTTCATTCTTCCCTATCTCCCTGCCTCACTATGGATCAGCATTTGCTTACCAGAGAAAACATTTGGCTTTTGAAAACAAAATACTTTTAACACCCGCCCCCCCCGCCAAAAAAAACCCCAACTTTTAGCATGGGGCTGGAGAATGTAGCACAGTGGCACAGTACATGCTTAGAATATTCTAGGCCTTCGGTTCAATCCCCAATACACACACAGAAATATAAATATATATGTTTGGCAGCAAAGTTGGAGCCTGGGAAATTCCTAGAAAATCTAATTATCAAGAGAAGCTCTATTAATTACTAAACTCTAACAAATTTTTGGTAAAAATGTAACGACAGCAAATTCAGCTCCCCAAAACATTGTCATCAATGAGTTTTGAAAGTAATGATATGTCGAACATGTACAATGAAGCAAATGTTTCTGGTTTCTCTGGGCCAACTTATTTCCTCCTAATTTATCAGTGAATGACATAAAAGGAGTTCAATATATGAAACAATACATAATCCCTTCTTTAGCTACCCTCATGGTATTATTTACTCATTACCACATATTTCAACCATTTATATCTCTTGAAGGCAACAGGTTTAGGACTATATTTTTCCATATTGCTCAGCAGAGAGCTCTGAATATACAAGAAATGCTTAATAAATATTTATGTAAATTTAAAGACTTCATACACTGTCAATCAGCATATTTTTGTTTGAAAAATTCCCCTGAAACATTTTGAACCAAAGTAGAAACTAAGGTGCAACAAAGGGTGGGAACGTTTCCCATTTGAGACACTGCCACCCACAAGCATATGTACTAGCTGATTCAGGCCAAAACATTCCTTTGCTTTATGTTTTGATACAGTCCTGGAGGAAAACATGAAATAAACAAAATCTGAGAGAGCAAATGACTTAGTGGAGAATAGGGAGGCAAGTTGATGATAAAAAGAAACTCTCTAATGATACAAAATAATGATGAATGGGTGGGAAACTTACGGGTCCTTTGGGAAGGACCAAAGGAAAGAAAAGAAATAGGTATATCACATATAGCACCTGAAAATATGGATCTAGGATGATGGAATTAAGCATGACAAAAGTCTGGAAGGACAGGAAAGATTGTCTTAAAGTTCATAATGCATCAAGGACTTAGGAATAAAACCAGAGACCCTGCGTCTGACAGAAGAAAAAGTAGGCCCTAATCTTCATCATGTCGGATTGGGCCCCAACTTCCTTAATAAGACTCCTTTGGTGCAAGAATTAAAATCAAGAAACAATACATGGGATGGACTCAAACTAAAAAGTTTCTTCTTAGCAAAAGAAACAATCTGTGAAGTGAACAGAGAGCCTACATCTTGGGAGCAAATGTTTACCCCTCACACATCAGATAGAGCACTATTATCTAGGGTATGTAAAGAACTCAAAAAGTTAAACGCCAAAAAAACAAATAACCCAATCAATAAATGGGCCAAGGATCTGAACAGACATTTCTCAGATGATGATATACAATCAGTCAACAAATGTGTGAAAAAATGTTCATCATTGCTAGCAATTAGAGAAATGCAAATCAAAACCACTCTAAGATTTCATCTCACTCCAGTCAGAATGGCAGTTATAAGAATGGCAGTTATAAGAATGGCAATAAGTGTTGGTGTGGATGTGGGGGAAAAAGGTATACTCATACGCTGCTGGTGGGACTGCAAATTGGTACAGCCAATATGAAAAACAGTATGGAGATTTCTTTTAAAATTGGGAATGGAACCACCATTTCACCCAGCTATTCCTCTTCTGGGTCTACACTCAAAGAACTTAAAAACAACATACTACAGGGACCCAGCCACATCAGTGTTTATAGCAGCAGAATTCACAATAGCTAAACTGAGGAACCAACCTAGATGCCCTTCAATAGATGAATGGATAAAAAAAAATGTGGCATATATACACAATAGAATACTACTCAGTGATAAACGAGAATAAAATCATGGCATTTGCAGGTAAATGGATAGAATTAGAGAAGATAATGCTAAGTGAAGTTAGCCAATCCCCCAAAACAAATGCTGAATGTTTTCTCTGATATAAGGAGGCTGACTCATAGTGGGATAGGGAGAGGAATCATGGAAGGAATAGATGAACTCTAGATAGGGCATAGGGGTTGGAGGGGATGGGGAGGGGGCATGGGATTAGAAATGATGATGGAATGTGATGATCACTATTATTCAAAGTACATGTAAGAAGACACAAATTGGTGTGAATATACTTTGTATACAACCAGAGATGTGAAAAATTGTGCTCTATATGTGTAATCAGAATTGTAATACATTCTGCTGTCATATATAAATTAAAAAAAATAAAAATGAAAAACAAATTTAAAAAATACCCCCCCACACACACAAAAAAGAGCTCATAATGCATGCATTCCCTGAATACTCTTCCAACAAATACTTACCAAAGGCCTAATACATGTTGGGTACTTAGGGGCATAGGACTGAACTTGGACAAGTCCCCACTTTCATAATACAGAAGAAAACTACACAGTGAGGAAGTAAACAAACTAAGAGATAATTTCATGACAGTCCAAAAGGACATAAAATCCAGTCAAATAATACTTACTTAGGTAAGTGGTGGGGATAGAAGGAGTAGAAAGTCAAAAAAAGGCCTGAGAAGAAGACATCCCAGTTTGGAGAACATACTGAGATCAAAGAGATCTCTGACAAGTGGAGGGAACTGAAACTAAGCAGTTAATGAGAACAAACTTGGTATATCCTAGGAAGAAAAGAAGGCGGGGTGGTGAGCAAGAAGCGGGGTGAAGCAGGGAGCAAAACAGAATGTGGTGAGGAATTTATCCTCAGTGCGGGAAGTAACTTTTGATTCAACATAGATATATGTTTCCTCTCCCCAAACTCCACCAAAGGGTAGTAAAGTAATTTAGAGGGTATAATCCACAAAGGCAAGCACATGTTTGCATGCTTTTACATTCACACATATATACCAGGAAAGGAGACCATAACAGATTTTTGAATATGAAAGGAGTATTTAACCATTGTAATTCATCTACCAGAAGAGAGAAGGCTGCTATCTGGGTGTTGTGGGGAGACACAATCAGTGGTATGCTGACCAGTGTTCAACAACCTTTAGAAAAAGAAAAGCCCCAGTGTGTACCATTTTCCAATTTCCATGGTGTACAGACTCCCTGCTCTGACCAATTTCATGATGCCAATGTGATTACCAGATGTGGAATCCAGAAGAGGTATGCACAATTGGCCCTTATGGGCTAACACAATCTGGCTCCAGCACATTGCTGGATATAATAAAGACCAGCAGATTTACCTCTCAGCTCCTTAAAAAAAAAAAAAAAAAGATATGGAAAAGTATCACCTTAGAAGATGAGAGACTTAGGGCTGAAAGCAGGACTGGTTCAAAGTCTATGTATGGAGCTGTTAGGTTTCCAGACCCTTCCCAACCTAGCAAATCAGGTTGTAACCCCTTTCCACTCAATAGAAGATGATCAGAAAGATTCACACTCAGTCCTCAGGCAGAGCAGAGGGCAATGGTGAAGATTGGTTTGGGGTGAGACCAGATGATTCCAGAAGAGGAAGGACAATATAGTGTTAGGGATATGGTTTCTGGAATCAGATGGTTTGGTTTCAAATTCTTGCTCTGCTACTAGCTGCTATTTCATCTCTTTGGGTTTCACGTTCCTCTTCTATGCAGAGCAACAATATGGGTATCTCACAGAGTTACTGTGAGGACTCAGTGAGCACAGAGCCTGGTGGTTGCTAGTCATGTAAATATTAGTTATCATTATTATGTTTAAATTACACATAAAGAACAAGAAGACTGACAGTTTTTCTTCTACCTCACTCAGAAGACATTCACACAGGTTCACAGGGCAAAAGATTAGAGGATTTATCTCTCAAAAACCGGAATTGCCCCAATGAAAGGACACCTAATCCTGACATTAGAGAACATCTGCATCCCACCACCACCTGATCATCAGCCCTGTGTCCAATCAGAGACCTTCTCAAATACTTGCAGTTGACACTTGTGTTTCAGATACAGACATTTATGGGAATCCTCCAACAGAAAAAAAAAGAGTCAAAGCAAATAGGAAAAAAGGAAATTTGAGGAATTAGGGACATATGAGAGGTAGAAAAAATAAATTGTCTTGAATGTTGTCAGAAAGGTAATAGAAAACAATTTATCCATAAAATAAGAATAGAATGCTTTAAGAAAAGAAGCTAACAAGGTTGGTTACAGTGGCATACACCTGTAATCCCAGAGGCTCAGGAGGCTGAGGCAGGAGGATTGCAAGTTCAAAGCCAGCCTCAGTAAGTTATCAAGGCCTAAGCAATTTACTGTCTGAAAATTTAAAAAAAGGCCCAGGAGTATGGTTCAGTGGTAAAGTGATTTTGGGTTCAATACCCAGTATCACCTTCTACCCCCTGAAAATGCTATCAAAGAACAAGGAAATGTTCTTGAAAATTAAAAGCATGGAAGAAAAAATATCAAGGAGATTCCCCACCCCCCACACACAAATCAAGTCAACAATAAGAAAAAGGATGAAACAACTATTTGCTTTTAATTATGCTTGCACTGCTTTGACACAATGAAAATTTACTTTATAGAGAATAAAATTAATCAGAGAATTTATAACCTGGTGACTGACAAAATTTGATGGACAGTTTATATGGCTACTCCAACTGCAAAGGAAAATCTAGATTGCAAAGAAGAGAGGAAATGGAGATTAGTAGGATGCTCTTATGATGGTTCAGTGAGAGAGAATGTAGCCAGGAAGAGGAAGTGGATTGGAGAAAAGTAGATATGACTATGTCAAAGAAAAAGAACCCACAGAATGGTTAAGGTCAGAAGCACTCAAAAGGCCAAGATATTGCTGGGTGTGGTGGTGCAAGCCTTTAATCCTAGGGACTCAGGAGGCTAAGGCAGGGGGAATCACAAGTACAAGGCCAGCCTGGGTAACTTAGTGAGTCTCTGTCTCAAAATAAAAAAATAAAAAAGGATAGGAATATAGTTCAATGATAGAATGTGCCAAGGGTCAATCCATATTACTGAAAAAAAAAAGTCAAATTATAAAAGAAGAAGACTGGGTGTATTTGAAGCCCAGGTTCAATTCCTAATACTCGTGGCAGGGGTTGGTGGGGAGAGGGAAGGAAGCCTAGGTATCATCATATACAATGAAAAATTTGTGGCTGCTTCATTCTATTGAATAATACCCCCGATTATTTACCAATCTCAATCCTTCATTTAAGTAAGTGATAGAATTCTTCAGACCACCTTGACAGATGTTTAGTCTTCTTAGAATTGTTGAGGAAACATGACCAGAGTGCAAAGGGGAATCACATGTGATTGTGTTGCTTTGATACTGTTTAGATATTAAGGATCTTGTCTCTTTCTAATTAATGATTTTGTCATGCTGGGATCAAACTCTGGATTTCGTGCATGCCAGGCAAGCATGCTACCACTGAGCTATATCCCTGACCCAGAAATTTAGGAGTTTTATAAAGCTTAATATAGCTTCCCCAAACCACTGGTTTAATTATCTAAAATAGTAGTGACTATCAGGTAGTTTGTGTATCTCAATAATCATTTATATATATTCTTTTCCTACCTAATACGGTATAAAGTTTTACCATCAGGAAAACCTATAAGACATTTAGTAAAACATTAATTTTTTTTCAGGCAATCTTGTGTTCCTTTTAGATTCTTCAACTTTCCCAAAGGCCCACTCAATGTACTGTTTCTCAAATTTCCCATCTATATCTGCTAAATGATATTCTTATCTTCTTGTCAGCTATGCACTCTAAAGAAATAAACTGAGGGGCTGGAGCCAGCATCTAGACTTGGGAAAGTGTAGATCTTTGTAGTCTATCTTAACCCATCAAGCAATCATTTCGGAACTATGAAAATTTCATAGAGTGAAATCAAGTAGTAAGCATTTCTGAAAAAACAAAAACAACACACACAAAACAACTTCATAGACTAGTGCATTCCACATAAGGGTTTCATAAACCCACGCTTATTTTGAACTTCTCCAGAGATACGATGAACATTGCTACTCTCATTGTTAAATTGAACCCATTTTTTTCCCTATGAGATTCAAAAGTCTTGATTAAATAATCAGCAAAGGAATTCAAAGCTAAATACAGTTTAACGTTCAGAAACCTGGAAAGATCTTACCTTGGTCTTGGAAAGAATGGGGGCAGCTCGATCAAGCAGCATTTCCACCACCTGCTCATGGCCGCTTCTTGCCCCACAGTGCAGTGGTGTCAGACCATCCTGTTGAACAGAGGCAACACCTTCATGAGATTTGGTAGTAAATTCTATAAATGCAGTATATTTCTTAAGACTCAGCATGGTGTCTAATATGCTGTGGACATTTACTCCACATATCTCATAAAATACTTTCACATTTTTAAGTTGAGAAATAGTTTTTTGTAAGTTCAAGTAATTGTAAAGCATATAATTTCTCACCATTTAGAAGACTGACATTTAAATATATAACTATTTCCCTACTCTTTTAAACATACAATAAAATCTAAATACTGAAAGTAACTTGATGCCTCTATTTCAAAAACACATGAATAAACTTTTAAAATAGAAATTTGTAAAAGGAAACTCATGCTGGCCCTTTTTCTTCTTGCATTTCTATTTCTAACCATTTCCCCAATATAATTTTTCTTAATATTTTTTAGTTGTCAATGGATCTTTTACTTTTATTTATTTATTTATATGTGGTGTTGAGGATTGAACCCACAGCCTCACACATGCCAAGCAAGCGCTTTATCACTGAGCTACAACTCCAGCCCAATATAATTTTATCTTAATATAATTTTATCCTTGAGTGTTTATTGATTACCACATAATGTTTCTCTACCATGAAAGTATACACATTTAAATTTAAAAATAATTTAAAGATTTCTTGAGATCATAAGTCTCTAAGTATTAAATCTAAATCTGATTAAAATTATCATACAATTATTCAAAATATTGATCAAAATATACAAAATACTTCATTGGTATCCCTTCTAATTTCATGAGATCCACCATTTTTCCCCTCTCTCTCAAGCTTCCTCAGATGAGAGAAAATATTCCACCCTTGACCGAGTCTGGCAAGGGGATGAAGAGGAGCTGAGGGAGTCATGGGGAAGCAGTGGGAAATGATGTCTACCAAATGATTCTGTGTCTATGTACAAATAAATCACAATAAATCCCCCTTATATGTAATGTAGCTCTCCACATGACACCAATATTTTGATATCTCCTTCTTGCTCCTTCCCTCTCAGAGGTTTTTGCACTGTTGGGTATGTGGCTGAGAGTTAGCGTGGCCTCCTTGGGTTCTAGGGGAGGACTATGTGCTAAGGAAAGGTGGGGAAGGAGACTCAGCATAGAGTTGAAGAAGTGAGGAGTTATTCACTTTAAGTGGCTCCAAACCCTTTGGTGGGTTTCCATACCCACCTGGCTTGTGTTCCCCAAACTGAAGATTACTTAATACCTACTCTACGAATAATCACATTTAAAAATACATAAAAATTTAGCTCGGTACATTCAAATTACTTTACAGATTGGGTGAGTAGATACGGAAAAATAAGCCTAATTATTCCAATTTATAAGCAAGCAGGTACAACCCTATTTCTAAACTACTAACCAAATCTCCATATTATTAACATTCTCTAAAAGATGAAATTTGAATTGCAAATAGTGGATGTCCTGATTTGAACATTCTTTGAACCCATTCAACTATTCTGCCTTTTATGTTCACTTAAAATAAACCAAAGTAAAGCAGCCTTTCATGTAGAAAAAGTGTTTTGCTAATAAAATAAAACATAGGAACATATTAAAAAATCATGAAGTCCAAAGTCTTCCTAGTAATATAAAACCTGAAAACATCTGAAGGAGAAAATACAATTATTGCCTCTTCCTTCCACCTCACAGAAACATCGCACAGAGACTGAGGTACAAGGATTGTCTTTTATGAACTAAAAGATCAGAATTGTTTCTTTCATTTTCTCTTAAGTAGAGTCTAAGAAATAAGAGATGACAGAATATGTGTAGACATTTTTTTAAGTGTGACCACACAAAAATAGTTAGTTATTTGAGCTCACTTCCTTCATCCTTGAAAATTAGCTTCCTCAAAGCAAAATGCGACACACTAAATAAAATGTTTGGCCATCTAAGAGCAAAATCTATCTCAACTATCAACTCCTTAATCCTTTGGAAGTATACTATCCCTCCTTATAGACATATACTTTTTTGCTGATTTCATCTTTAAAAAAAAGTTCTCTGGAACCAATCTATATGCCCTTCAATAGATGAATAGATTAAAAAAAACTCTGTGGTATATATGCACAATGGAATATTACTCAACATTAAAAGAGAATAAAATTATGGCATTTGCAGGTAAATGGATGGAGTTAGAGAATACCATGCTAAGTGAAGTAAGCCAATCCCCAAAACCAAAGACCAAATGTTCTCTCTGATAAATGGATGCTGATCCATAATGGTGGGGGGTGGGGTGGTGGTGGGGAAATGAAAGAACTGTGATTGGGGAAAGGGGAGAGAGAAGTGAAGAAGGGGAATGGGAGCAGGAAATATGGTGGAATGAGATGGACATGTATGACTAGGTACAGGTATGCACATATGGAGTGATGCTTTATCGTGTACAACCAGAGAAATGAAAAGTTGTGCTGCAATTGTTTACAATGAATCAAAATGCATTCTGCTGTCATAGATATCTAATTAGAATAAATGAATTAAAAAAAAAAGTTCTGATCTTGAAAATTTCAAACATATTTTAGACTAAAGTAAACCAACTGTCACCTCATGGTCAACATGATTCATCCTGATCTTTTTTTTCCTTTCTTATATTATTTCAAAGCAAATTCAAGACATCATATCATTTTTTTCCTCCCAATTATCCCTATAAGAAAGGTATAATCTTCATTTAAAAATGATGACTCTAAGGTTCAAAGAGATAAAATTACTCATCCAAGGCTAACTGCAGAACTAGACTAGAGCTACTACTAACTAGGCAAGACAAGCAAGGGAGGTCTTAAGAGGATGATGAAGACAAAACCCTTAAACTCAAGGGGTTCAGCCACCCTTAGTCTTCCTTTAGCGTATTCTGCAGCTGCAGCCTCTGATCTCCAGTTCATTATAAACAAGGAAAATCTAAAGACTCACTGGGGAAAAGTGACATTTTTCATCAGTAGAAGAGCTGAGAAGAGCTATTGTTCTAGCTACTGTTCCCTTTAATCACCTTGCTTCAGTGAGAAGCCAGTTAGCTCCCCAAGGTCAAAGTCATCAGCTCTAGCTGAACTGCCAAGAACTATCTTGAGCACAGGTCTTTCAATGATAATCTTCCTGCAATATTTTTAACACTTTCTCCTTTGGATCATCTACAGATTTAATTTGGCACTTTTTGAAAGTGTATGACACTTCAAACAGCCAAAATCTCAGCAGCAGAGATGCCTCATCAGAAAGCTATAAAAGATGTTACATCTGCCCAGCTGCACAGGTAGGGGTGGCCTAGCTGCTGGGACATTGAAAAGTCAGGGGGAAACCAGTGCCTGGAGTTAAAGTTTAATGAGCATTACGGTTTTTATAATCATGAAGACAGAGACAAGAACCAGCCGACTCACAGTGAGACTGAAAATTATCTGTCATTGAATGAATTGAAATTGCAGTTAAAAAAAAAAAAAAAAAAAAGAAGGGCGGAAGATTTTTTTCAACTGATCTTTTTTTTTGAGAAAAAAAAAAAAAAAAAGCAAAACTTGAACCAATCTCATTGGCTTTGAAATTGGCCTAGCTCATCCTTTGCTTTCCTACAGCATGGTTCTGATATGGCACCCTCAGTTGAAAAAAATCTTCAGCAACTGTCGTTCACCCCTCAGGCAAGTCTAAATCCTTGAGGTTAGCATTCCAGGACTTCTAAAATCGTTTCCTGCTTCACTTGGTTCAACTTGCCCTTTCCCCATCTGAAATCACTTCTCCATCAAACACTTTGCAGCTTCTGCAAGAATCTCACTTTCTTGTTCCTCAGCCTTCCCACAACGCTTTATGTACCTCAAGGTCCTCCCCACTTTCTTTAAAATCCAAGGCCTTTTTGTCATACATGATAGCATTTCTTTGAAGCCTTTCCCCAAGACAAATGTAACTTTTCTACCTTCAAGATTTCTGTTATTTTCTGTATCTATGTTGGGCAACTTACAACTTTTTAAACTGGTGTTTTATGACTTGTGGCCCCTTGAACTAAGTGTAGTCAGGCTCCTCTGATATTTCTTGTTAACTAGGCCCTGACTTTAGAGCGTCTATGTGTTAGTCTCTGCTTAGTCCAGATTTAGCAAGAATGTTGCTGGGTTAATTTAAAGAAAATCCCCCATCCTTGACATCTGATGGAATTTCTTTTTCCCACACTCAATATCTTATCACCTTGGCCTGCTTCTGCAATAATCCTGTCAAGCAGGTTTGGCCAGAATCTCTCTGACCCCTGATGTTTCCTCCTAGTAATTTCCCTCACCCTAACTCTTACCTTGCTCCTTAGCTCTAAATTCCCACCTTTCCCTGTTGCATTCAGAATTGAGCCAGATGTCTCTTTCTACTCCAGAGCCCTGTTAAAGAAACCACCCTTGAATAAAGTCTGCCTTACCATTCTTTGACAAGTGTCATGAATAATTTTTTTAAAACAGTGGTCTATCCCTGAGGACCAGGTTAACAATTTTAAGGATAATTGAATATTGCAGAGGAGGTAACTCTGTAACACATCTATGAAAATTGCTTAATAAAAATTACTAAGTGAATGAAGAGAGTGAATGAATCATTTTCTGGCTAGTCTGTAAAAAATGTTTCCTAGTTAGTTGGTTGAAAATTTGTTTCTTTGTTATCCTTTTTAAGATTAGACTTATTTTGTCTACTTCAGAAGTGCTATTAAAGTATCTTTCCAAAAAATAAAAATTTTAACATCAGTGACTTGCAAATTGGAATGAGATGTAAGAATGTGACTCAGTCTCTTAGCTCTCAGATTTGCTTGAAATAAGCTTTTCCGTTTTCCTAAATCAGAATACTATAAGCTTAATAAAAGAGATATTGTGGATATTATGTTTGGCAACACAGCAGTGAACTGGTATACCCTTTCTCTAAAATTAGAAGAATGTTTTCTTCAAAACAAAACAGGGACTTTTTGTTGTTGTTGTTTGATACTGGAGATTGAACCCAGGGACACACTGCACTGAGCTATATCCTTGGCCCTTTTTTTTTTTTTATCTTGAGACAGCATTTCA